CAACAAATCGTATTTTAAATTTCAATCTAGAGTGCCATGATTATTATGAAGTATTAAAAACACTAATTTTTATTCAAGGAACCTTAGAAAAATGGTATTTTTACACAAGCATAGTATTTACATTAAACGATCAAATAAATTTTGTTTGATCGTTTAATGTGTCTTGTCCTGGCCGGTTAAAAGTTGCCCAAATCGCATTTTTAATTACATATATCTAAATTTCTTCAAATGGAACGAGGGTGGCTCATTAGCATATTTGGAAAAATCATTTTTTTTTACAAATAATTTAGTACCATACTCTTGGTATTTCGAGTTAAATTGTCGTTATAAACGGCATATGTTACAATTTCAAATAAACCATAGATATGAGAAAATGTCAAAAGTTGACATATGATATGTCATTCTATTCAGAATGCCATTTTCTATCAAATAAAGTAAAAAAATACCGAGGGTGCATTTAAAAATCTAAAGGTTGTAGTTATTTCCAGTGAAACAGGAAGTAACAGAAACCAACTGTATACGCCAATCAATCCTAATTTATGTTATATACTATCATACCAAATCTGGTATTTTATCTGAAAAAATAAAAAAGTTATAGCAATGAACCACTTTCGAGACGCACCCGGTGTACAAAAATTTCAAAAATACCAAATCAGTTTTATTTTTTACAACGTTTTTCCACGTTAAGGTTGATTCTCATTATACCTTCCGTTTCCATTCCATATCCATTCCATATTCGTTCCGAATTTTTATTGTATTGACGCTATACGTAAGCTTCCGTTCCGTATCAGTTCCATACTTTTTATTGTACAAATTATATCATTTGTATCTTTTGAAAAAGTTAATAGATTTAATTAAGAGGAGAAAGAATAAATAAATATCAGCAAAATTTTAACAGAGCTGGTACAAATGTAAGAACTTGACACACTCTTTCCGATACGCTTCAGTCCGTCCGCCAAAAAAATGTATGGAAGGAAAGGATATGGAACGGAAGGGAAACGGAATGGATAGTGTGCATTGTCCTGTTCATTTACATGATATAATATTTTATGTAAACGGAAGAGGAAACGGAAGGGAGCTGATATAGAAGGTATAGTGAGAATCAACCTTAAATGGTTGGACAATATAAATGGACATATAATCTTCATAAAAATTAAAAAGTTAAGAAGAAAATCAATAAAATCACGCAATTATTTTATTTTTATCTATTATGGTTTTAATTTTTAACTCTGTGGTTTTAATCATATTTTTGTCGTAAAAGAATACGTCCCGTCAATAAAAAATGTGTTTCGCGGTGTGTATAGGGAGCGATCTATAAAATAGATTGCTGTTTATTTAAATGTGTTTTGTAGTAAATTGATTATACTCCAATATTATGTTTGCATTCTTGAAATTTCTTTCAAAGACATAGATCCAGTATACGTACGTATTGCCATATAAAATGTTCATCCCAATAGGGGGCCATCACCAAAAAATTCACACTTTTTCTGCTTAAACCGGTAATAAGTAATATATAATTGTTCATTAAAAAATATACTATAAAAACAATATCCCGTATATTACGATTTTTTCTACAGCACTTGAAATACATACCGTTGCATCGTTGACCTGGACATAGGAAATCCCATGTAAATTTTAAAAATGATTCCCCATTTTATTGGAATGTGAATATTGAAATTTCCCCATTTTATTTTACAAAAAAATGTATTTGATTACTTTTTAAAGAACTAATTAAAATGAAGCAAATTGTTCGTTTTGAATGGTTTATACGAATTCGCTCTTGAGTTATGCGAGATACAAAAATACTAAATTAGGCGAAAATTTAAAATAATGCGGCCCTAATCAAACAAACATAACAATCACAAGTTATGTCACAATATGTCAAATTCATTATGATTTTCTTCCATGATACAAAAAACAAGGTATGATCGATAGCGGATCCAATTTCGTTCAGTTTGCACATATCACACGCTATACAAAATCTATATTGTTTAATTGCCACCAATTGCCACTAATAAAAAGATCCAAAATAGGGAAGAATTAGATCGTAACCTCAAAAGTTATGTCAAATCATTGAGCTTGACATTTGAAAAGTCATTTTCACATTTATTATGTGTCATCAGTTTGACGATTTGAAATTGGCACACGGAGCTTACCGACCAATGGTGCCGTTATCACCTGTGACGTGACCTGCGTCACATCATGTGATGTGTGTCTGTGATGTGACCTGCGTCACATCATACCTTCTTTTCTTTGTATCATGATTTTCTTCTACAGAGATCTGTCAAAAATGAAAAGTTACAAAAAGTGCACTGTAAACATACGAGAATCTTTTAAAAATGAAATATATATCGTAAATAAGTAAACACACTGCTCCAAAAGAAAATGTATTTATTATATAATCACTAAACAATTCACATACAGGGTGGCCCATTGAAAACGTTCCGCAAGGCATAACGGCCAGGGTAATTTTTTTTTCAGAAAATTTAAAAACATATCAATTTTGTTTGTGAGGGGGACAACTTTTGCCCTAAAAATGATTGCAAAATCTTCAACCCTCTAAGCGGGGGTGTCATCCTCCATTTTTTTTTCAAATGAGAAGGGGGGTCAAGTGGTACAACAATGAAAAGGGCTTTCTGTTCTCTATACTTTCCGGCTTCGTTTTTGAAAATCGGTCGAGTGATTGAGAAAATATGAAGGATTGAAATTTGAAAAGTTTATTTAAACGTTTATCAGAATAAATGATAAGAATAAATTCGAAATTCGAGAAATTCCTTCGACCAATTTGCAGTTTTTTCTTATTATTTCTAGATGTTTACGCATTTTTTCACTTGCCACAAGGTTGAACGATCAGGTGCGGTAATTGCTAGATATCTGTTCTGTGACTTATGCGTTGAAGTTCTTCTCAATATCGTTAAATTTAACAATTATTATGGTATACTCACTTGCAGAAAAAGTGGAAATAATCGAACTTTATTTTAAAAATAATGAATGTGGCAATCGCGTTGCGCAGATATTCAATGAACGTCATCCTGACAACCACCTTTATGGCAAAATTGTTCGCGAGTTAGTAGCAAAATTTCGCGAAACTGGTTCCGTTATGAACAAAAAGAGGCAGAGGGAAAATCCTGTAGTAAATGAAACTCTGGAGGTATTCGTATTGGACCAAGTTGTCATAGATAGTACGCTGAGTACAAGAAAATTAGATCGAAGAAAATTAGTCAATGAAACCGGCGTGAATCGTACAAGTGTCCAAAGGATATTAAAAAAACGCAAGTTCCACCTGTACAAAATTCAGGTGGTACAAGAACTCAACGAAGACGATTTTGATCGTCGCTTGCAATTTTGTGAAACTATGAGTGAACGAGTGGCGAATGATAATAATTTCCTATTTAATGTGTGTTTTTTGGATGAGTGTACTGTACTGGGCTGAAGACAACCCCAGGGTTTTTCACGAGGTGTACACATAAAACCCTCAGAAATTGAACGTGTGGGCTGGTATTTTTGGAAATTCTATTGTGGGCCAGTTTAACGATATTGAGAAGAACTTCAACGCACAAGTCACAGAACAGCTATCTAACAACTACCGCACCTGATCTTTCAACCTTGTGGCAAGTGAAAAAATGCGTAAATATCTAGAAATAATAAGAAATAACCTCAAATTGGTAGAAGGAATTTATCCTTATCATTTACTCTGATAAATGTTTAAATAAACTTTTCAAATTTCAATCTTTCATATTTCCTCAATGACTCGACCGATTTTCAAAAACGAGGCGGGAAAATATAGAGAATAGAAAGCGCTTTTCATTGCGGCACCACTTGACCCCCCTTCCCATTTGAAAAAAGTTGGGGGATAATACCCCCGCTCAGAGGGTTGAAGATTTCTCAATCATTTTTGGGGCAAAAGTTGTCCCCCTCACAAACAAAATTGACGTGTTTTTGAATTTTTTGATAAAAAGAATACCCTAGCCGTTATGCTTTGCGGAACATTTTCGATGGGCCACTCTGTATATATGTATATATATTTTTTAATAAATATATATTTCTTCTCTTACATATATAGTCTTTAATAACTGGTCTGGCATATTTGGAAAATATACAGAAAATAAATCCTTAAAAAGATAATCCCGACTATTTTCTTCATAATACCACTAAATTATTTTTTCTCTTTAGTAGTGTTATTAAGTCAATGGATATGACATGTAAAAAAAATATTTCTTTTAAAATTATTTATGGTAACAATAAAGTCAACTTGACATTGATTAATTTGATGATGATTTGAGGGAGGCATGTTTTTTATTCTAATCAGGACCGTATGATTTTTTTAATTAAATTAGTATTTTTATATCCCTCATAACTCAAAAACGAGTTTATTTGCTTCATTATAAGGAGTTCTTTAAAATGTTTCAAATAATTTTTTTTGTACAATAAAATGGGGAAAACTTATTCATCATGTTTAAAATTTACATGGGATTTCCTACGTCCAGGTCAGCGATGCAACAGACTATTGACCTATATTCACTAATTACAGTAGCTATAGTTTTTTACTGAATGTTGATGGCTAAATTTGGATTTACTTAAGAAATCAACTTCGTCCTGAGAATAGAGCGGAAGAAGAGATAATTTCACAGACAGATAACTGTCATTGTCGTATATTATATTGAACAAACTATACTTTAAAAAAATATTGGCAGTTAATTTCTGAAATATAAAAAAATAAATGCAACCTTGATACGAGTGCATTTAGGTAAGTAGCATGTAAATAAACAAAAAAATGTAAAATGTATGCAATAATTTATACAGTTCTTTACTTCTGTCAAGGAACATATCTATAATTATATCTATAGTATACATTATTTTTCAGATAGTAGTGTATTTACATGGTTAATGTACGTACGAATAATTATTCGTTCAGTAAAATGTGCAATTAACAATAAATTGTACAGGGTAATCATTCTTTTTCATGTAATTATCAAGGACAAATTAGGTATGAAATAAAACTACTGACCAAAAAAGTGTAGATTTGGCGCCATGCTTAAAATTAGTTCTCGAAATAACTAAAAAAGTTAAAATGCAGCTATTATCGCTTGTGTTAGTTTTTTTGTTTGTTAAAAAAGTTTTGCTACTAAAAATTCATCCTGACGTTGGATTATCTTTTGTAAGTATGTTTATAAAATTTATTATTTGTGGTTATAATTTGTTATTTTTATAAGTTATTTTTTGAAAAAAAATACAATGTGGAATCCACACGGAAACTAGCGGGTTTTTACTCGTAAATCAAATGCCTAAACAACAACAAAAATGCTTATCGTTTTTGGAGGTTTATATATCTCATCCTGTCCGTCGTCAGAAGACGAAATCAAAAATAATAAAGAAAAAACTATTTAAATATCTAAATATAACTACCACAGAAGAAGTACCGTATGGAGGACGCTTTAGTTTTTTAGCAGGTGCGTCTATTAAAACCATTGACGTTTTGATAACATTACATTACATAAAATCAAACTTCAAATAATCAATCACTACCTGATCACAATTCCTAATCAGATAAAATCAAAAAGCATTAAATTTCTGTACATAAAATATTTTTGCATTTAGTTCTGCTAAGATTTATGTTACGTAGTGTTGGTGGAGAAAAGGTCAAATAAGCGATAGCTACAAGTTACTATCACTATCTACAGATGCTTAAGCAATAATTTCATTTTTCGTTGAGAGATTATCGGTTCTTTCATTATAACTTCTGCATTGTTAAAATCTATTCTGTACTAATGCTTTTGAATCTAAGAAGCAATAATTTTTTTTTCAGTTTGAGTTTAATCATCTGCTGATGATGCTAACATGGTTAGCGAAACGCGCGTCCAGTGTAACAGTAAAAGTATTTTTGGTGTATTGTGGTGATTTAGTGTTTTATTTTGCTGTGTAACACCAAAGGTTCCATCCCCCGAATATAATTTTTATGTTCTTTAATTCGAACATTTAGGCCCGATTACACAAACCTACAATATGTCCCCAGATTGTACAAAGATGCATTCTTCATAAAAAATTTGCTTGTTTAAAAATCCGATTTATACTTTTCCAAATTTCCATACTGTTTTAGAAAAAAATAAAAAAAAAACATAAAAATATGATTGAATTTCTTCCTAAAAGAGGCCTAAAAAAAGTCCTAAAGGTAAAAAGTTGTTTCTATGGTAATATAATTTTGATTCATTATTCATTTTTAATTACCTCATATATTTTGCAATATTTTTAAAGTATCACATTTTTCAATAACAATATCATCACCCTTTCCCTAGTATTGAACTAAATAAATTTGGTGCTCCTTCAACATCAATAATAATCATGCCCTAGACACTAGTAATGGGCATTACTATTCTTTTTAGTGAATCGAATTACACGATTCAATTTCTTATATTGAATCAACTCCTACGAGTCGGTCATTTGAACGAACCACATGCACAATTTACATTTCATAAAAACAACAATCGTAACTGGCACTACCGGTGATAATTTGGTCGGACAATTACTTAAGGGACCAGAAAAAGAAATATACAGTTCTTTCAACACTTTATGGCACTGGCATAAGTGGATTGATTATTTTACCAATAATATTAAATTATCAATCCAATTCATATACCTGTTTATTACTGTTTATTAAAGACTTCTTAATACCAATTTAATATTTTTAGAGCATATTTTAATTCCGATTTAATAATCATATAATAAATAGTATATAATATCGGACGATCGAAAGAAAAAATGGCATCCAGTTGGCTTGGAAATGAACATTGATGATATTCCCCAAATAATTTTACATAAAAAATGACAGCGACCTTCATTTCATAACCATTGCCGACGCTGTTTTTTTATCATATTGAGAGGCCAGCAATATTTATTTGGAGTTGCATAAAAACGCGATTTCGTTTTTTAGTCCGACATTTAATGCTTTATTATAGTCGGTAAATATTATTTTAACGAAAATATTAACGTGAAAATTAAATGCCTTACAGTACTAAGCACAGTATAAATAAGTTTTTTTTCTTGTAAATAACTTTCTTATTGTTTGCATTTTATGCTATTGTTGCGAGCCGGTGTGGACTCGACCTAACCTCACAATATGGCCCGCCCTCGGATGACCTTAACATCGCATAGACACCGCAATGATTCATTCGTTCGAGAAGAATCGAGACCCACTAGAATGGACTAGTACATACGAGAACATTCGAAAACCTTCTCTGCGCACCTAACGATCTATGGACTATTCTAGATTTCTTTTGCTGTAGATATAAAAGCCGGCGGCAGTGGCCTAGAGAGGGCAGTTATAAATATACAGTTGACGCGCTAAAATTCAAAATAAATTCTTAGTTATAAATCGTTTGTAAATAGTTCTATAAGTCTTTTATCGTTATTGTTTTTGTTAATTAGTGTTAAATAAATAGTGTTTAAATAAATTGTGACTTTCTATCCACACGGAACCGACAAAAAAGACGTAACACTATGTTAGGGCTTTTGTTAAAGTTTAAATATTGGTACCCGACTCTATGCCTATATCATCGCCGCGTAGAAACAAACTGGTCGCATTGTGATCCAATACAATTCTTATTGCGACTCTTTTTTACGGCTCATCGTTCATATTTTATGGATCCGTGCTGCCCACGATTCAATTGAACTAACCGTATTGAAAGCAATAAATCAATTCTCACGACTCTTTGAACGAACGAGCCGTAGAAACGAACGATCGCATTGTGATCCGATTCAATTCTTATTGCGACTCTTTTTTACGGCCCGTCGTTCATATTTTATGGATCCGTGCTGCCCACGATTCAATTGAACTAACCGTATTGAAAGCAATAAATCAATTCTCATGAGTCTTTGAACGAACGAGCCGTAGAAACGAACGATCGCATTGTGATCCGATTCAATTCTTATTGCGACTCTTTTTTACGGCTCATCGTTCATATTTTATGGATCCGTGCTGCCCACGATTCAATTGAACTAACCGTATTGAAAGCAATAAATCAATTCTCACGACTCTTTGAACGAACGAGCCGTAGAAACGAACGATCGCATTGTGATCCGATTCAATTCTTATTGCGACTCTTTTTTACGGCTCATCGTTCATATCTTATGGATCCGTGCTGCCCACGATTCAATTGAACTAACCGTATTAAAAGCAATAAATCAATTCTCACGACTCTTTGAACGAACGAGCCGTAGAAACGAACGATCGCATTGTGATCCGATTCAATTCTCACGGCTCTTTTTGCAAATAGTTCGTTTAAATTTTAAGGATCCCTGGGTAGATAACCAGACAAGTCGTATATGTCGTGAAATTTACTAACTTTTGCGTTCACTCCTGGTTTATTCTCAAGCCGAGTCTCTGAACAATAATACAACACCGTGCTGGCCACGATTTAATTGAACTAACCATATTCTACTCTAAGCAGTGAATCGAATCTCTCGATTCATTTTTAGTACTCATTGAAATAAACGGCTCGTTCAATCTTTGCCCACCTCTACTAGACACTCAGTCTTAGTAGTAATTTTGTAGAACTACAAACTTGGTTTTTCCCGCGTCATCGCTAGACTTGCAATAAATTATTATATTTCAATGAATTATAGTGTGAATTATAGTGCGTTACTATATTGTGTCTAACCGTTTTTGAAATACGATGTTTTAGCATTTCTAGATATACAGGGTGGGCCAATTGAAACTTTCCACTCCAATTTTTCTCGTTTAAAATTTGAAAAACGTTTATAACCTCAGGCGTGGTGGTACCACCCTAAATTCTTAAATGGAAAGGGGGGCCGAGTGATACCTTATGTGAAAGGTCTTTCATTCCCTTTCTAATGATATAGATATTATGTACTTTCGTTCCAGTTTTAGAGATTTATTGATTTAAAGTACATTTTAATTTATCAGCTTAGTGGTGAAAAAATCGGTTTTTATTTTTTTTTCTCTCTGTATGTATTTTTTTGTCAAATTATGTATACTAAAAATTAAGCTTTTAAAAAAAAAAGCTTAATTTTTTTTTATTTTTTAAAATTTCTAAAAATTTTCCCGTCCAAAATTGAGCATTTTTCACTTATTCCGAATTGAAAGATTTTTGGGCGTGGATCGATGCAGATTGATTAGGTAAAATTTTTGGTATACATAGTTTGTCAAAAAAATACATACAGAGAGAAAAAAAAATAAAAACCGATTTTTTCACCACTTAGCTGATAAATTAAAATCTACTTTGAATCAATAAATCTCTAAAACTACTGAATTATACTACATGATATTATATCATTAGAAAGGGAATTGAAAGACCTTTCACATAAGATATCAGTTGGCCCCCCTTTCCATTTAAGAATTTAGGGGTGGAGCCGCCCCCGTCTTGGGGGTTATAGGTGTGAAAGTGATTTTATAATATTTTCTTTTCCCCCTCGAAAATTAAATCGAAGTGTCCGAGCATTTTTCTAAATTTTAATTTTAAATGAGAAAAATTGGGGTGGAAAGTTTCCATTGGCCCACCCTGTATAAGTCAAGGATAATACTGATAATAATAAGGCCATAATAATAGACAATAAATGTATAACTATAACGAACTTACTTTCCAAGTTTTACATACACATTATTTACAGGCGGAACAAGTAAAACGACATGGGTACCCAATAGATATACACGAAGTAATAACTGAAGATGGATACATTCTATCCTTATTCAGGATACCATATGGAATTCGAGGAAACAATTACCAAAACCGCACAGAAAATAGAAGTGCCGTTTTGTTTTTGCACGGTATGGGTGGATTTCCAGCAAACTGGGTAAATGCTAGAAATACAAAATAAAAAAAAATTGTGTGTGTTCACCATGTGCGCATATTTGAAGTGAAATTTTTCTTACTACCGTCTGTCTGCCTGTCCGTCTTTGGTTCCAATTGACCCATAATTAAGAGAAAAATCCTGATGATTTCGTTCAATTAGTGGCATCGGTTCGAAACGTTGAGGGCCTCACCCCAGCCCGTCCCCAATTATGCCGAAATCGACCCACATTTTTCTTCAATATCAAATCTTTAGTCCCACTTTGATTAAGATGTAAACGAAACGTCGTATACAACTTTGCAGGGTGGGACCCTGTGCACCGTCGCTCTCATAGCCTACCCACCAAATTTGGTCACAATCGGACGACATCAACTTTTGACGTTTCTTACTTCAAAACTAACTGTCACAGTGACATGTCTCGTACACAGTAAAGTTGGCCTTGGTCCACTTGATCGACATACAAAATTTCATTTAAATCGGACGATTTTTTGATTTGATTCATTGATGAAGAGGTTTTGTAGTGCACGAAACGTCGTCAAAATATCATGATAAGATGGGCTCTTCGAGACCCATCTACATTCCGAGTTTCAGTCCCCAGCTCACATAGGGCCAGAGTTACGACGCTCCAAAGACCCATTAAATCGGACAATTTTTTCGCCATTGATGATGGAGTTTTATAGTGCACGAAACATTCGTCCAAATTTGTCGAGATTTCCATACTTGGATTTAGTGCAATTATTTAATTCAGCGTTAGACAATGGTCTAGCTACGTCGAAACACCGGTTGCCGATAGATCATCGACGTTAAGCGACGTTAAACGATGCGAATGGATGGACGGATGACCGTCTGGAAACTCTGTCGTTATTTTATTTCATGGCAAGAGTGTAAAATCTGTTGATACACACTGCTCATTCAGATCGGTTCAAGGCTGGATAAGGTCGGGTATCTCGTGAGTAACAGACGATTTAGATACTCAACAAATCGGTAGGCCATTGATAATGATATAACTGAGGGGCGCAGCTAGGATTTCGCGTAAATATAGCCGGCGCCGTCCAGATTTGATTCATTGATGAAGAGGTTTTGTAGTACACGAAACGTCGTCAAAATATCATGATAAGATGGGCTCTTCGAGACCCATCTACATTCCGAGTTTCGGTCCCCTAGCTCACATAGGGCCCGAGTTACGACGCTTCAAAGACCCATTAAATCGGACAATTTCTTAGCAAGCAAAAAGGAAACTTAAAATACTTTAATTCGGCATTAAATGATGCTTGGTGACTGCAAGATGATGTTTTCTCAATGACATAAAGTTTTAACTGTTTCTTTCTGACAGACAAAGGTTTTTCTCGTTTTTCTCTTTCTTAATCGTAACTTTGATAGATTTGTGAATTGAGATTATTAAGAAATAAATCCATCTGTCTATCTGTCCCACTCCCGATTATTAAACTATCGTCAAAATATCGACATCAAAATTACAATGCTTTATGCCAATGTAGCCTACTCTTATACCGGGTGAGTCTCAAAAATGGCTCCCCACACAATTTTTTAATTTTTTCAGATAAAAAAAACAGATTTGGTCTAACATACCAAATCTGTTTTTGTATGTACCAAATCTGTTACTGTATATGACATAAATTAGAATTGATTGAGGTATTCAATTGTTTTTAGTGACTTCCTGTTTCACCGGAAACGACTACAACTTTTGATTTTTAAATTGCACCCTCGGTATTTTTTTACTGTATTCAATAGAAAATGACACAATTTGTCAACTTTTGACGTCTTCGCTTAGAAAAAAAATTGTATTTTAAATTTCAATCTAGATTAAAAATTTAATAATAAATAAATAATTTCAATCTCTACTAAAAACACTAATTTTTCATCAAGGAGCCTTGGAATAATAGATTTGATCATCTAATGTTTTTAGTGTCTTGTCCAGATCGGTTAAAAGATCGGTCAATCAATCCTAATTAATTTATGTCATAAATATACTAACATACCAAATATCGTTTTTTTTATTTCAAGAAATAAAAAAGGTCTGGGGGTGAGTCAATTTGAGAGGCACCCGGTATGTATGCAAAAACGAAATATTGCAATCCTTGTTCGGTTGTTTTTTAAATGTAATGATTGATTTATTTTCTAGATTAGTTTGGGTCCTAAAGATTCACTGACTTATTATTTAGCAGATAGAGGTTACGACGCTTGGATTATGTCAACACGCGGTGTCGACTCACCTCTTCAACGAAAACATTTATTATATGACTGGAATGACGATATGGAATATTGGGATTTCAGGTAGGGTTTCTATACGTCCGGATTTAACCGGATATGTACGGGTTTTAAAGTGTTCGGCATGGTCAGGCACGAATTTCAAAAAAAATCGGTAAACAACTTAACTTTTAAAAAGACTGTAAAATAGTTAGCGGTAGGTCTAGGTTAAAAATAGAGGGAAATAATGGAATAACTTTTCGCTAGTAAGTGACTATACTGGGTGCGTCTCAAAAGTGGCTCATCACCCCTATAACTTTTTTTAATTTTTCAGATAAAAAACGAGATTTGGTAGGTTATTATATGACATAAATTAGGATTGATTGACGTATTCAATTGTTTTTGGTCACTTCCTGTTTCACCGGAAATTACTACAACTTTTGATTTTTAAATGACACCCTCGGTATTTTTTTACTTTATTGAAAAGGACACTCTGAATAGAATGACATATGTCATATGACAACTTTTGACATGCTCGCTTAAAAAAAGTTGTATTTTAAATTTGATTCTAGACTGGCTGTGTTAAAAACACTAATTTTTAATCAAGGAGCCTTGGAAAAATAGATTTCATCGTCTATTGTTTTTTGCACCTGGCCAGTTAAAAGATGCCCAAATCGTATATTATTATATATATATATATATATATATATATATATATATATATATATATATATATATATATATATATATATATATATATATATATATATATATATATATATTTTATCTCAATAAAAAATATATATAACAAATAAATAAAACACAACATAGATAAAACAAAATATTTTATTAATAACAAAACTTACTGAATTTTATACCTTAAAAGTTTATTAATTAACTTTAATCTTAATTTTTTTAAACCAGTACCTTTTGACATTATCTCTCTGCAGTACTAAAATTATTATTATTTAACTATCGTGCGATGTCGTTATTTTACAATTACTCCAGTTTTTAGAAACATATACGAGATGGTATATAAACTATAATGTTGAGTATTGGTGGCTCTCTGGGCACTGAATATTAACTATAAATTGTGCTCTGGGTCTACAGTTAATTTTCCCTCGATTTTTCCTCCACTTAACTTCAAAAAACACAAAACACACGTCAAAACACAACCAAAATGCAAAAGTAATTTGCAAATATTTGACATAATTTGACACAAATTATAACCTATAATTTGGCAAGAGTTTGACAAGCTTCAAAAATCTTAGGTCAAGTATGAACTCATCTGCGTCAGTGCATTGTTCATCGTTTTGTCACTCCAAATATTGAAATATGATGTCCTGTTTGAAACAAACCAATAAAAAAAAACAAGAGGCGACGTCATGATGGATTTATATATAAAGCCATCCATTGTTAACTTAAAAAATATTAGAAACTTTTTAGTGAAATAAAAGGATTCGTATGGACGCCATCTACCTTTTTTTCTGTCATCTGTTGAAATCTTACCAGAGTAATAAAACAGAGTATACTAAACAATTTTTCAAATCCTTTCCTTCTTTAAAGTAATTTTCTTTATGTTCTGAGTAATACAAAATCAGTAAAAAACAGCATTATATTTTGAAACTGAACATACATTTTTTTGTGTTGCAATTACTTTTAATAAAAAAAACTTAAAATAATAGTTACATATCTTCTTTTTACTTCTTAGAATAATAATATATCTTCTTTTTCAGTTTACATGATATTGGGGTATATGATTTACCAGCCAATATCGACTACATAAGAAAATATACAAAACAGGAGAGAATATTTTTTGTTGGACATTCGGCGGCATGTCCAGAATTTTTCATTATGATGTCAGAGAAGCCGGAATACAATAATAAAATAAAAATTGGAACGATCTACGGAGCAAGTCCGATCCTGAAGAAACTTGATTATCCAATGGTGATACTTGGTAGCCAATTAGTAGATGTTGTTAGGGTAAGAAAGCTCTATTTTCTATAACTACAGGGTGATTCACGGCCATGGCACATTAGACGTTTATGGAGGACCGGTGAGAGGATTTTTTTTGAAAATTTTGATTTTGCATAAAAGCACCTGCTCTATCTGTCTAAATTATTTTCAGCATTACAGTGTTGCCACTTCATAATAAAAGTGGTAGTATCTTTGTTATTTTAAATGAAACACCCGGTATATTATTATGTTTTTCGAAACTATATTCCATATCTAATTTTTTTTTATTATACTAACCTATACAAATCTCTGATAGTTTTTGAGATAAAAAATAAAACGTGTAAAATTGACAAAAACATGATCTTGAATAAGCATTGGTTAAATCATAGGGTTAAATCATAAATTTGGCATATTGAAGCTAAAATTTGGTTTATAGGTTAGGAAAAGTCGACATATTCGAATCAACTGATTTGATATTATCTTAAAATCTATACTGGGCGTTCCATTTAAAATAAGTAAGATGCTACCACTTTTTCAATAATGCGACAACAGTAGTGTAATGCTGAAAATATTTTAGAAAGATGGAGCAGGTGCCTTTATGTGAAAAACCAAATTTTCCAAAAAAATCAATCACGGGTTCTCCATAAACGCCTAACGTGCTGTTGATGGTAGAACCAATAAGATTGAAAATAACTGCATATCTGATAAGAAACTAGGGAAAAGGACGATAGTATCCTACAAAAGTGGAATTATAGAACTAGCGTCCATTTCCATATACCATTATCTTGAATTTTTGAAGGTTTACTTAAAATATTCACCAGCTGTATTTTTATAAGGACAATGAAAAAAATCTTTCACTGGTGTTATTACGACGTATACGGAATTAAATAAAAAAATATATCCAAGGAAGTTGATTTGATCAGATCGAGATGATTGAAGATCATGCCCTTGACAAGCGTCTTTGTTGGTTTACTCACTCGTGTAATATTAAATTTTTGAGATTCTTACCCTTTTTTATTCTATTCTTCTCTTTTTAGTCTCTTCTATTTTTCTTCTGAAATTTAAGAAAAACAAAACTTTTATAGCCTTCTGGTGTGTTTTTCTTCATCAAAATTACAACTGGCGTTATTTGGGACAAGGTGTTCTTAATAGCGCCAATAGAAATGTTCACAAAAAAATTAAAACGTGCCTACTTCTCATAAAATCATTCATTATAACATTAAAACTCAGTATGCAAAGTTTCATAACATTCCGTAAAAGGCTTGTGCCTCAAAAATCCGTGCGAAATTAGCGTAATCGTTTGAATCCGCTAAACGCGACCTGACGTCACTGCTTCGATCTGTATTTCCGCGCGAGTAAACGGTGCTGTCTGCACGCTGTGGAATTTCTAACAGAACAAGCTAGAATACGAGATATAGCGTTGTGCTCGGATGTAGTTTGTATATTAAATTTGGTTTATTGTAATTAAGGAGAAAGAGCCAAATCTTAAATTTTAATTGTATTGACCTGAAAATTCGCACACGTATACAGGATGTCCAGTTTAAAATGAGGTACCTACATGGGGAATAATGAGGATCTTGAAGACCGTTAAAGTTACAAGATCGGTTAAATAGAAGAAAAGTTGCGTTTTTGTGTGTCCAAAAATAATCTAGGTCTATTTTATTTAATATTCATATACCGTTACGTAAATACAGGAAGAAAAAGAAAAATGTGCATTTTCTAAACACCACCATATTTTCTTTATTATTGCAGCTAAGGTCATCAAAATTTTAACATAGGGATAAGGCAATATGGAAATTTTAAAAATCATGTTCAAAAAAGTCTACGCTTACTACGTTGCGCATGGCCAAAGTGCACTTTTGCTTTTCCTATGGGCGCCATATTGAAATACATGGTTGAAAACATTTTTAATAAGGATTTTTAAAATGCCAAATTTAAATATGGCATAAGATATAAATAATATAAGAAAAATAAAAGCTGACCTCGGCCGTGCGCAACATAGAAGGCCTAGGTTTTTCTTGATATAATTTTTAAAATTGCCATGTTGCCTTGCCCATACATTGAAATTATGATTATCTTAGCTCCAATAATAAAGAAAATAGGGTGGTTTTTCAGAAATGTTCATTTTTCCTTTTTCACCCTGTATCTACGTAACGGTATGGATTTAAAATAAAATAGACATAGATTATTTTTGGGCACACAAATACGCAACTTTGCTTCCATTTAACCGACTTTGTATCTTCAACGGTTTACAAGTGATCCCCATGTATCTCATTTTAAATTGGACACCCTATAGGACCCATATTAAGCGAAAAATTTACAAGTAAAAAAATTGATAAAAAAACTTTTTAAAAACAAGCTTAAAATTAAATGCACTTAAAAGTAGAAAATAAGAATTAAAAGCAAGGGGCGCAAAGTAACAATTTAAGTATTAATACACCCAGGGACAAAACACCACTTATTTGAACTCATTTTACTTCTTCAAAACACCAAAACAATGAAAATAAACAATACACCTTCGCGAACGTCTGTAAAAACAATGCGGCAAGTACACGATCGTACGGACGCCATTGATCAATCAAAGCAGTGACGTCAAAAACAGGTAGCCTTGAGCCGGGTACGTTTTCTAGCCTTGCTACATTTCTCAATTTTGTTTTGCGATTATGTGAGAAAATTTGAGTTTTTAAAAAAAATTTTGAGTGCCATGTTTTTTTACTCATATGTAGCTATCGAAATTCATTGAAATTAGAAATGAGTGAACATGTCTATTGCACCATAAGATATATTTTTCACCAATTTAAATTCTTAGAGAAAACAAACTACAATTAACTAACCTTGTTTTCTAATATACCTAGAAAAAATAAAAGCCAAAATTGAAACTATTTTGAAAAATACTTAAGAGACTACGGTGGGTCAAACTTTAATATGGCGTTCATTAGGTCACTGACCTTATATGTTACAGTAAAAGTAGGAAATCTAGTAAATTTTATCAATCACTAGGAAATACTAACAATTATTACTTTTTTTCACATTGGACCAGCGAATGCCGTAATTTAAAGAAATTTATCGACTTTTCTAATGGGGAAAATGAAAAAAACACTAGAACACCTCATCACTGAGTGCGTCGAGACAGATATGGAGAACTAACCTCTATAAAACCGTCTCAGATACTCGCTTTTGTCAAATCCCTGAGACTTTACTGCCACAATAAATCTGTGAGGTCCCTGTAAGTAACCCCCTTACATACATTCTACGGAAAGCTGCTAGAATTTACTAGTAAGCTACTGTAAAAATGTAGTCCTGCATTCACTAGTAATATTTTGAAAATTAGTTCATGAACTGGCGTATTGTTAGCAAATTTGTGAATGTGACATTACTAGATTGTTTTGTGTAAATTTTACTAATTGTAAACATTCACTGCCTTCTGGCTTTTGCTACAGTAACAGATACTCTCTCTCCAGTCCTTTACCCTCAGTGAGAGTATGGTGACATTATGTATTGATTCCCCTCACTTCCTCGGACCAAGTTGTCCGACACTGCGCCATATGTGAGGCTTCGGGGAGGTTGTGGCCCACTAGAAGTTTTGACTTGGACTACCTAGGACTTGGACTACTATTGACTTGGACTACCTACTAGGGGTTTTGACTTACCTCTTAGGTGACCTTCCACGTGATCGTCTTCCCTCTACCTTCCCCTCCACCATCAGTCTCTCAATTGAGGTGCCACTCCTGGCAATATGGCCAAAATATCGGAGGATTGACTGATTCAATTTGGTAACCAGCCGTGTCTCAATTTTTAGTTCTTCAATAACAGAAATGGTTGTTCGAAAATATGTAAATGTGTATTCGCAGCAGCTGTCGATATACCCACATCTCCAAGGCGTTTATTCTTCTCTTATCGCTTTCTTTTAGTGTCCATGTTTCAGAGCCATACATAGCTATGGTGAAAATGAGGGAGTTCGCAATGCGCAGTTTAGTTTTCCGTGTGATTCCTAAAGTACTCCATATCTTAGTCAGCTTTGTTGTTGCATTCATCGCCATTGCCACTCTGTGGCTGATTTCAGCCTCGCATCATCCGCGTATCTCAGGTTATTTATCCTCCTGCCCCCACGGATATCCCACCGTTCCAGATACAGTAAATATTATTTTAAAGAAAAAGATTTCAGTTAACGTCTCCTTTTTGCTGCCAGGGCTAATCTGGACGGGGCCTACTTTGTTTACGCGGAATCCGAACCGCAGTCTTCGGCCATATCATGGTCAATGGCCTACCGACTTGGCAAGTGTCTAAATCGACTCTTACTCACGAGATATCCGATCTTATCCGGCCTCGAACCGGCGTGAATGAGCAGTGTGTGTCAATAAATTTTACACTTTTGCCTTGGTCAACAGCACGATACAGAATTTCGAACCGGTCACCCGTCCATCCACTAGCATCGCCTTACGTCGCTTAACTTCAGTGTTCTAATGGGAACCGGTGTTTCGACGTAGCTGGGCCGTTGCCCAATATTATTTTAACTGAAAATATTAATCCAGTTCCCTCTATACATTCTCTGTACCTAATCCAACATAAGGCATTTTTTAATTTTTTTGGATTGAATGAAAATTACCGGACAATCCTGATTTTACTACTGAACACAAAATTCATAAGAAAATAAATCGCAGCAGTCGTTTATTCTTTATTATCATGTTTATTTACAACAAAAAACGTTATCTTGAAGTTGTATACCAATGTTTATCCTTGCAAGAAATTTAGTCAAAAATAAAGAGTGATTCCATATAAGCTTGGTTGTGTGTAAGTTTGATAATTGAAAATCAATATTTAAGGTAAAAAAATACCAGGTGTGAAATATGATCCTGTCATGGTACTGACGTTTCTAACAATTCCGATCCATGGTAGTTTAGGGTTCAGCATCTGAGCATCTTCCTGTATACTCAAAAATAATTTTAAATTATGTTAACATTCTCTAAATCGATAGAATTTAATATAATTTTTCATAATTCTCGATACAAATTCTTTGAGTAATCTTTAATCTACATCGGATATTTAAGGTACTTATTTTTTGCAGGAGATGTATAGTTTACTGACTAGTGCATCATTTAGTAGACTCTCAAGTAGACAAATCCTTCAGTATCTAGATAATTTGAAAACAGGTAACGTATATACAGGATAACCCAAGGAGCCGAAATTCACGCCTCGTATCAGGTTTCCTATTTTGAATGGGTCACCCAGTATAAAAAAATTAAAGTAGACAGATAAAATTAATTTATTTTTATAACTGTCTGTAACAAATAGATTAGATTTTCACTTTTTCAGTATCAAAAACATATCACACCGTCGCGTCGCGTCGCGTCGGCGTTATGGTTTGGGATACCATTGCAAACTTTGCCATTGCTATGGTAGCAGATTACCACTGGTTTTGATTAGAGATGGGTAGATCCGGTATTTTAAAGAGTCGGATCCGGAGTTACATCAAGCTTCGTGGACCTGCGTCCAGGTTCCAGTTCCGCCGGATCTATATCATTCTAACCAATAATTTTAATTTATCTAAATTTTGTTTTGCTTGAAGCAATCCGCGTTCAAAATTTTTGTTTTTTTATGTTTGCGTTTTGCCAAATCCTTATCACCTATTTAGCTGTTCTCTTTATTTAGTAGAGGTACCCTAAGGTTCAAATTTATTATTATGAAGCGAAGCATTACGAACTTTACATACTAATAAAAGATAGTCGAGACTGTCGCATAGGGATTGCTTCTTTTTTGATTTTAAAGAACATAACATAAATGAACATAACATCCGTAAAAATTAAAAATAATCATACAGAGAGTTTGGGGCTTTTTGGTTTTACCTTATACAGTACTTGTTATAATTGTTAATTTTGAAGTTTAACTTGATATAATATGATTTTAACAGAACGTCAACGGTTTTTGTAGACGTATCTGTTTTAAAAAACTAAAGTGTTCTCGAATAGTTAAATTTAAATATTTTAAATAGTCTTTTTCTTTATTCTTTGTATTTTTTTGCTTCCGACGACGGAAAGAAATAAACTTTCCGAAACGTTAAGCATTTTATTGTTCGTTAGGCAAATTTGTATATCTATCTATCTACTTTTGCTATTGCTATATTTACTAATGACATCGAAATAAATTTATTTAGAGGTTATTGATATTTACTATAAACTAACAACTAACTAAATATTTTTGAATATTATTTTTATTTTTTTGTTCTTTGACATTGTAAACATTTATAAATGATTATTTTAAACAATAAGACTGACAATTTTATTTGTATAATGTTTTGTATTATCTTTTGTTTGTTTGTTTGTGTACCTTGTTTGTTAACTTTGTTTGTTTAGTTTACCTTTGTCTACAAATTGAAAATTTTTTTGACAATAAAGGCATTTATTTATTTATTTATAAATCTAACTTCCGACAAGTAGCTTCCGTTTGGATTAACGCCAGAAGTGTTTACAAAAAATAACTATTTTATTTTGTAGATTTTCTTGCAGTGGCGAAATACCCATATAGGATTTTTTGGAGAGATTGATTTTTTGGAATGATCTGCATTTAGCAGATAATATTTTTAAGAAATAAAATGGCATTTCATACAAAAAATAAAGTTGAACGTAGTCCTCGTCTGCTGATTGATTTGACGAACCCTGTACGATCATAATATATTCTATAATTTCTTGAAATTGCCAATAAAGCAACACCACAACACAAATTTGAAATAATACTAAATAATTTTGAATACATACATATTTCTATGGACGTAAACGTAAAAAACAGTAAATAAATACAGCTCAGCAGCAGTTACGATTCCTTCTTTATTCCAATACTCTCCAATACTGATTTATTTCGCTGCATCGTTATGTTTGCGTTATCTGCCGACGACATGACCGGTTGGCTGTCAGCAATGCAGTTTCGCGGATAGGCGATAGCGGTCCATATTAAGGAGGATCTGCATCCATCAGTACCGGCACCGGAGAAAGGTCCGTGGATGGATATCCATCCGGACCTGCCCATCTCTAGTTTTCATTAGAGGCAACATAACAACCCAGCACTACATCCATAAAGTGGTGCATCCACATGCAATTCCATACCTTTACACCTTTCAAAACCCCATCTTCCAGCAAGACAATATCAGACTACATGCTGCACTAACATAACATTAATATTATTTCATTAGTATTAATGATTCAGCACCGCCATTAACCTACACCAAAAATCTTATGAACATATATCTACAGGGTCGCTAATACGTATGGAAACGATCGATTATCGAATAAAATATACGAGGTACCGCAAAAAGTTAAATATGAAAGTTGGTTAGGTTAGGTTAAATAAATTATACAGGGTCGGTCATAAAGTCGTAGCACATCAAAGTTTCATTTTTTTTAAATGGAACCCCCTATATATTATTGAATATTTCAATTCTTCCTTCAATTCTAAGCAAAAAGAAAGATACACACAATGTACCTTAAACCATCCGTTTCCGAGTTATTGACTTTTGAAAATATCACTTAAACAATTCGATTTAATTAATTACGATGTGTTCGGTTTCATTTAACGATGTCATTCTGCCGAAACTGTGATACTTAATAATATTTGACATTAGTTTTAAAGTTAGCATTTATAGATGTATAAAATGTGATTTTATGAAGTCTGAAAATTACAAAAATTTCGTTTAACATTTCAAAACTAAAACTCGATATCTCGGAAACGGTTGGATTTTAGTACATTATGTTACTACAATGTTTGCTTAAAATTGAAGAAAGAATTGAAACACCCAATAATATACAGGAAGTTCCATTTAAAAAAAAATGAATCTTTGAGGTACCAGGACTTTATGATCGTTTACGTACTGTATAAATCCAAGGAGACAATAGAGAAAGAGGGAAATATCCTCAATTTATTAGCACCTATTTATTAGCACCTAAGCTTAAGAACTGGCAGGGCCTGGACTGGTTACAGTGAAGGGAGAAAACATCCCAAAAGGGGCGAATCACGGTCTTTCTGCCGAGAAGCAAGGGGAAAGACACCGCCTACTTGCTGAGCCTTATCCAACTCCAGTGCAAAGACATCGAGGTGACGATTCATCAATTCGAGGGAGGAGGGTCATGGTCAGGAATAGGACAATAGGAATTGACCTCAAATACAAGGAGGCAATAGAGAAAGAGGGATATATCCTCCATTATAGATTCGGGACAACACCGGTATCAGGTCTAAGGAGAAACCAAGTTTAAGAGGTGAAGAAAATGGAGACAGATCTTCCAGCCTCCACCTCACGGGTTCCTCAGCCGGAGGCAAGCTCCTCAACTGTGAAGAGCGGCACGGAGGGCCAAACTCCAACCGTGGCAGGGTGTGTACCCTCGGAGGAAGAACTGTTGTCAGAGGATGATGGGAAATACCCTGTCCCCTCTACAACAGGGGTATGATGGGTTATAGATTGTGTGATGACTCAAGGAAGGGGGACACACACAATAGATCTTTAAAGTCGCAGTGATTAACCCCCCCCCCTCTTACTCATTCTACATTCTACATACTTAAACCTATATACTTAAACCTGTATACTTAAATTTCTTACAATATATTAGGGATTTAAAAACCCTATAACTTTTGTATTTAACTTTTTGCGGGACCTCGTATACTTTGTTACTTTGCCCAATAATCGACCCTCTCCATACATATCAGTGACCCTGTTAGATATTTTTTTTGTCCCTCATTTAGAATATAATAACTTCTAGGGGAGTTTAGGCAGTATAATTATGGTTCAAAAATAAATAAGAAATTATATGGAACTAAAGTACCACCAAAGTATAATTTAACCAGATGTGAAACTGCAGTAGCTTTTTTCTCAAGCACAAGCGACAGTTTTTGTATTTTAGAGGTGAGATATATAGCAACAGTCTTCTACTAAATAACAGTACCTTTATTATTAATTATATGTTTTCTTTTATATTTTCTGTTAAAGTGTTTATTTACTAAAGTGAGTAGAGTAAAGATAACATCTAATTTATAATTACAATAATGTTATCAATTTAATATTATGTTATATGATTAGTACAGGGTGGCGATGGCGCCTCTAATACGCCGCAAAAGCTCCAAGAAGAACGGTAGTTTATATCGAAATGGAATTTTGGCAGCATACGTAGATTAACTGAAAGCATTTTACAAATATACTAGCGTATTCCAGCGACTTCGTTCGCGTCGAATTAATCATTTGTAATAGTGATGATTAAAGCAAAGCAAGAATTTCCATTAACATACAAACTGGATAAAATGTTCTCACATTTATGTCAGCATGAGAAAAAACAATATGGCAATATTATTATATAACATGGTAGTATTTGAGGGGTAGATTCATCTCTTTGGAATTTGACTTTCGAAAAATTCGTTTGCCAAAAATAAGCTTTTTACGTCAAACAGTTTAAGCAGAATCGTGGTTAAGAAATTACCCAACTTTTGGAACACCCTGTATGATTTTTTAAAAAATTTTAAAATATGTAAAAAAAACAAATAAATTATGCTTGTCCAAGCGTTTTCCCGAAAGACTAACCGTTTTTTAAATAACAAATAATATTGTAATATTTGAGGGGCGCTTTCACCCTCTTGGAATTTGATATTTGAGAAACCCCTCCTTATCGAACCTCTCCACCCCACAGTCAATCCGTTTGCCAAAAATCAGCTTTAAACGTCAAGCAGTTTAAGCAGAATCGTGATTACTCAATGGTCATATTTTATGAAACACCCTGTATAAATTAATAAAAAAATTTAAAATATGTAAAACAACAAAATAAAATATACGTGTTTAAGAGTTTTTCTTAAATAAAAAATATTTTAATATTTGAGGGATAGTTTCACCCCCTTAGAATTCGAGTTTCGAAAAATTCCTTCTTATCGAAACTCTACACCCTAAAGTCAAACTGTTTTCCAAAAATCAGCTTATTACGCCAAGCGCTTTAAGCAGGATCGTGATTAATTAATGACCAGCTTTTTCGAAACACCCTGTATACATTTTTAAAAAATCTTAAAATATGTAAAAAAACAAAATAAAATATACGCGTTTAAGCGTTTTTTCGGTAACTTTACCGTTTTTTAAATAAAAAATATTGTAATATTTGAGGGGTGGTTTCACCCTCTTTGAACTGGAATTTCGAAAAATTCCATTTTATCGAACCTCTACACTCTAGAATCAACCTGTATGTCAAAATTGAGCTTCTTACGTTGAGTGGTTGTGATTAATCAGTATGTCAGTCACTTAAGGATTTTATATATTAGTATAGATATAGAATTATACAGGGTGTCCTCAAAAAACTTACACTTCAAAGATTTTCGGATTCTAAAAAAAAGGTGAGTTTTATTAAAGAAGCATATAGCCTAAAATCTAAGGATTTTGACATATTTCAGATTTTGTGAAAATGAAGAATAAATTTTAAATTTCGATAACAGCTACTTAAATTTTAGTTGACCTTATATAAGCCTGATATTTAATTACAATTACAGTAACAATTGTATTAAAATGGTGGTATTAAAAAACAGGGTGAGACATAATTAATATAGAACATTAGTCACTTTTAAAAGCAAGTTACTCCTTTATTTTAAATGGAACACCCAGTATATTTTTCCGGTGTTCAATGGGGAATTTATATATTTTCAAAATATTATTAAGGTTGCCTACCCCTCAGACAAAGATTTTCCTAGATATTTTAATTTTTATGATTTTGCGTCAGTAGATCTTTATTATTGTGTAAGTATAGTGTGATATACCTTTTGTTAATTTAATAAAAATAAAGATTGTAGAGTAAAATACTCAACGGTAATAAAGAGATACACACGTATAAAACATATTATTTTAATTATTACAGAATCAAAACTAGATATAAACCTATAATTGTGTGACAAAAATTAGCTAGATGAATTCAAATGCTCAAAATGCTTCCTTTCCTGTTAACTGCATAAAATGATTGTCTTTTCAAAAGGATCCTTTCGTTTTAAAAGGCATATGTGAAGTTCTACCTCGAAAAGCAGCTACAATAATTTCTCTCATGTTGTCGACCATAGTGGTCAAGTTTTGTAAACTGTCTTTAACATATCCCCGTAAAGGAACCTAGACTAGATAAAATTAGGAGCATTTAAGTATTCTATTAATTGGTGAATGCACACTGCATTCACCTATCTAATAAAATCATATCAGTTCTCTCTGATGTACGATAAGTTTGAATTTTCGGCAAATTTCTGGGAATTTTTTTTGTTTTAACTGACACAAAATGATAACTAGCTGTTAAAGTTGGACTAATTAGACAGCTATGTCGAAGTAACGTCAGACAATATTCAATATAACAGCCCCCTAGATTTTATCAAATATTAAAGATCTAATGAGATCAAATCATGTAAATGAAAATATCTACGAAAATCTTTGTTTGAGGGGTAGACAACCTTAATAGTATTTTGAAGAGACATGAATTTTCCATGGAATATCGGAATAATATACTAGGTGTTCCATTTAAAATAAAAGAGTAACATGCTTTTAAAGGTGACCAATGTTCATCATTAATTTTGTCTCACCCTGTATAACTTTTTGGATCAAGTTTTAATTTGTAAAGTACAATAGTTAATTTAACTAGATATTAGACAATACCAGGTGAATTCCAATTTAGGTAGTTTTTATTGTAATTTAAAAATTGTTCTTTATTACTATAAAATGTTAAACATGTCAAAAACCTTACATTTTAGTCATATGCTTCTCGTATAAAACACATCTTTATTTTTCTCCCAGAATCCAAAAATTAATTAATATATAGGGTGTTCCATTACCAAAAACACAACTTTGACATTACTTAAATTAACTTTGACATAACTTTTTTGGGGACACCCTGTAGAACTCTCTATATTTTTAAAAAGTGCTCTGAATTAACCTACATATGCTAACAAAATTTCATTTCAATACAAACTGTCGTTCTCCTTGGAGTCTCCGCGGCGTATGAGAGGCGCCACCCTGTATATGACTTACCGGGTAGTGCAATGTTATACCAGTATATTAATGAGAGCTTCTGAAAGTGGAGCCCACGACAGTGTTTATCTACCTTGTAGGGAAAGGGACTCACTGACTGATTAATTATTATTTGGGTACAATTTGTACTGTATGAAATAGAGATATTAGAGAATAGAGAATAATATAAATAATAAATAGAGAATTTCTTTACGCCCCTCTTATAAATATTATACAGGGAGGTCCGAACTGTATTCCGGAAACTTCGGCAGCATATTTTGCAGATAAAAATGAGTAAAAAAGTTCGTATGTCCTAAAATGCTTAGTTTTGGAGATACAGGGTGTAGAAATTTCATTTTTATTTCGATTTTTTTCAAATAATTTATGAAGTAACGTCAATATTTGGATGAAAATTAGTGTCTGGGAGTTTTTTGACATGATAAATTTGATTTTGATGTCAATATGACTCCTACTTGTAGAGGGCGTCATCTGCATGTTTTTAAACTGGTTTGAAGAGTAATAACTTTTCTGTTATTTTTTAATAGATAATTGTAACAATTTCTCAATAAGAGTTAATAGTAACATTTAATTAAATTTTTAGGATCTCTACGAATCTATGAACGAAATTCCAAACGTTATTTTACATTACCAAATTCCCTTCAAGAGGTTCACTCATATTGACTTTGTCTTCGGCAGGAATTCCACATATTTAGTTTACGAACCAACTTACAGGCTGTTCAAAGATTTTGACGAAGGAAAAGTACCTTCTAAGAGAGGGAAAAAGTATATATTTAGTAATTAATCCTGTATTAAATAAATTAATAAATAAATAAAAAAAAAAATTTCTGTTTACATTTTTTCCCTTTTTTTAGTTTCTGTTTTCCATTTTTTTAACTTTTCGCATATATGATAATGTAATATTCAAATTCATAATGACCTAAAAATTAAGAATGTTAAGGAAGAAGTTAAGAATTCCTTGCTTACGTATTGTAAAATCCCATCCTAACTTTGGTAACAACATTGGCAAGACAACTAATAAAAACCGAACCAAATCATAGGCACATTTAGACGCTTAAAAAGGCGAGCTCCTCAAGATCTTCTGTAAAAAAGAAAGATAATTGATTACATGGTCATATCAACGAATATGGTACCATAAACGCCATCAACAAAAATTACATAACATATAGTAAAATGTGGACAAGACAGCTCAAATAAAAGGAATTAAAAAAAAATAACTTGAGAACGGTTACTCGTAGCGATTTTTACTAAGAGATCTTTTTAGTAATCTAATAAATGTCCCGACGAAAAATTTTTTAAAAGTTAAAAAATCTATAGGTGGCGGCTCCAACAAGTAAGAACTGGCTTCATAAAAAACCTTATCATCGTTACATGGCTAATATTTTTGTGTGAAGTATCCTTTTTTGTAGCCATTATGAAATAGTCATGTCTGCCAGCGCGATCCCGAGCCTTAAAGCGGGGGCGGCCAATCGAAAGGGTGAAAATTTGACACTAAAAATATTATAAGATACATGAGTTATAATTGCGAAAATAGCTTTTATTTATTGTTAACAAACGTGGAAAATTGTTCGCAGACAATCATCATACCAAAAATCAATCTCATGACAATCTCATACCAAAACACATCCAGACACCGATTTTCATGCAAATATCGATGCTAGGTACTTCAGAAGGTATACAAAAATGACATGTCTACACGCTGTATTTTTGCAACTAGCAACTAGCATTTTGAAAGGACGCCATTTTAGGACATGAATTCATACGAACTATTTTACTTATTTTTATCCGTTACAAACAAAATCCCAATTTTTTTGCAACGGATAAATACAATTTTTCCCCAATACAATTCGGACCACCCTGTATAGATCGGTATAATATACTACGGAAAATTCTGTAAAATTTACAGCTTAAAAGCTGGAAAAGTTTCCAATAAAACTGTTTCGTAATAATTTATTAAAAATTCCAACATATCGGGGCTCATAATAATAAATAACAAATAAAAGTGAGAATGATATACCTTCCCATAATTCTTATTGCTATACAACACGTTGCTGGCTTTAAAAATGTAATAATAGGAAGCATTTAATTTAACAAATATAACTATTTTGGATTTGGGTGTTTTCCAAAGAGATATAACAAACTTGTTGACGTTAGAAAATGAGGTCGATGAACAATATCAAAGTTACGTAAACATAACTAAATTAATGACCTACATCAATATATTTTTATCATTATAATATATGTTACGCTCAATAGTCGAATTCGGGTAATGCCTGAAAAAAATACGCAAATCTAATTTTGAGCAAGGAATATTTCCCAAACCCGAAAAACTAACTAACCAATGAATTAACACCCTCCAAATATCCACGCTAACCAACTTGCCAAATAACTAAACCAATCCAACCAAAAAGAGTGAAACCAATGCAATCAAATCACACTATAAGCAAAAAAAAATAATCGAATAAAATTAATTTTTCGGGTTTGGGAAATATTCCTTGCTTAAAACTACATTTGCGTATTTTTCTCGGGCATTGCCCGAATTCGACTATTGAGCAGGGTTGTTAAGTAATTTATGAAGCAAAAAACTACGCCAAAAACTAAGCGTAGTTTTTTGTATTAACTACGTTTTAAAATTATAAAAACTACCTTCAAAAACGACACAAAAACCACGTTAAAAACTACCTACAAAAATATAGTAAAACATAAACAATTTAGACTTTAAACAAAAATCAAGCCAAATTCTTATCATGGAAGTATGAAGTTATATTATATTTGTATAAGTTAAACAACATCAGAAAAAAAGACAATTTTTTTTTCAACAAAAGTGTATTTTTTACGAAATACAAAGTAACATTGAACACAAAATAAACTATAAATTCTTATGGAGAAATTTTCCAGGAGAATATATGATTTTTTACATCTAAAGGCACAACTTCATAATTCGCCTCTTCCCAGAAGGTATGGTGCAAGGTATGGAGACATAGACGTCTTCCAAGCATTTTTAACTATATATCAAAAATATCACATAATAAGGAACAAATTCACAAAATATAGATTTTTTATTTCTTTATTGATCAGCAAACAAAGTTTTTAGGTTATGTTTTCATTATTTAAAGTTTATTTAAAAAAAACTACATTAGTTACATAAACTACACATTTACTACTCGACATTTAAAAAACTACTTGTGACATGTAGTAAATGTAGTTTATTAATTACTACGTGTAGTTTAACAACTAGTATACAGCTCGGGACAGGCAAACTCTGCGGGTTGGATTTTAACGTGTAAGACAGTGATGTAGACAGCTTAATGGCAAATAAAATGTATTTATTAAAAAGAGAAAAAAATTGGGTGGGTATGGGTGGGTACATTTCTTCTGAGCGGTATTGCCGGATTTTGCATCAAAATTTCAAACAGCATAAGTAGACGTTTCAAAAAAATGTTGCATCAGGGTTGGATCTGAATCTTCGACAATTAGTTACTCATTATATATATATATATATATAGTATATATATATATATATATATATATATATATATATATATATATATATATATATATATATATATATATATATATATATATAGAAAATCTGGGATTTAGTGGGGTTGCAGTCGGAAGGGTTTGACAAAGAATTAATACACTTTGTTAATTGTCAAGCTTTCGGAATTTATTTTTTCCTTCCTCAGGACACAAAATGGAAATACAAGTTAGACAATTGCTGTTATAAAAGTTAAGAATAAGACTTACTTAACGTGGTACAGAAAATACCTTCATAAAAACTACATTAAACATGGTTTGTGTTGATAACTCCACCGTGAAAGCATCGCTGACCAGTCAACCACAAGGACTCTTATAAGGCGGTTAAGCCGCCAAATATAAGTTAGAACATTAGAATAATTAAGAGATGTTAGAAATTTTTAAATTAAAGAATTTTTTGCGTCTCAATCCGAAGCGTGGAGGCGCAAAACAATTGACAGGCGACAACCGCGACATCCAAACGTCAAAAGTCAATTGTCAGAAGTCAAGTTAGTAAAAGTGATCTATGGATGTCGAACAAGGCTGTGGCATGTCCATCATTGTATTCATGTAAAAAACCAATGGTGTGGGTGGTCATGTAGAAAAGTGGAGTGATCAAGGCACAACACTAAAAAAACACTAAAAAACATTAATAAAACACCCTTACTCGTGCAACGAGACAAAAAACAATTAGGTGGTAAAAATACAATTACATTTACAATTCAGAAAATGTCACCAAATATCTGCAACCAGAAATACACCGAGCGCAATCAGAAAAAGAATTTTCTTATAAGCAATTGAATAAACATTAGGATGTGCTAAAAATTCTGAAAAAAAGACAAGAGGTGCAATGCAAACACTTAGAATAGGCCAAATGTGAAGAAGGTAATGAGGAAAATATGACAATAATGTTCATATTAATCAATGTGAAAAACTGTCACAAAAAATCATTAAATTGTACAAATTTTTCCTTCACAATTTTTTTATATTAAATTCACAGGAAATTCATGAACCAAACCTTTTCATAGTATTGGCAATACTTCCAAAATTACAAAATTACATAAGGTGTAAAAAACTACAGAAACACACTCCGCAAAAAGGGGGGGGAACAAACAAAATCAGCAAATTAAGACAGTTGAGTGACAAGGCAAAGACAATGTGCGGCTTGGACAATCCAAGAAAAGGCAATGCACCAAACTGACAGTGCACTCCACGCAAATTGCTTATTATCATTAAAAAACATTTAATCAAAGGTAAAACCACCGTTGGTTCTGAAGGAACCAAGGGAGGGTAAAAAAAGAGACAAAAAACAAGTGCACACAGGCACCTGTTATGGTAGTATGCACTGGAAACGTATTAGTGCATATACCTTGAAACAGTCCGAGAGGGACTGGGAAGGGGCGATTAGCAAATTACATAGCATCTATAAAAGATATGGTCAAAATTCCGTTGCGTACATAAACAACGAAATGAGACAAAAAATCTCCGGGTGGAAACCACCGTCCCACCCACCACCTACACAACAACTCATCACCACGCGATGGGTGAGAATTGTATGAGTGCTCGAAAGTCGACACACTGTTAGTGTAAAAATTCTAATAATTCGAATTTTCTTTGACTTAAAGGTTTTTAGTGGTTAACCAAAAACCCCAAGACAATTAGTAAGGCAAGTGATAGTGTGAGGGGAACAGCGAACCAACCAAGAGACAAGGCTAGCTATTGCAATGCCAAACTGTGGGTGCACGCACCACGCACAGTACCTCAAATCCTGCGATAGGCTGAGGGTTTCTAAACAATTTAAGAGGAGCATGAGCACTGATGGTGCAAAGCTCCCAAAAAAACAATTTATGGGAAAGTTTCCCGATAAGCATGACAAGAACCAAAGACGCAAGGGTCAGATCCTAAATGTGGAGAACATAAGAGATAAAAAAACATAGGGAAAAATCGCAAAAGCGGAAAAATATTACATCAATAAAATTGTCAGAGTATTAAGAACATATTAGCAATTTTAAAGGTATTAACATTGATATATCAAACAATGAAAAATTAACATATACTGAAGAAGATTCTTATGCATACAATGAAGTGTGTGCACAATGGGATCATTTAGTTAGAATTTAAATTAATTGTTAAGTAGTTAGGATAAAATGTAGGGAAAAGCAGTGAAAGTGGAGGCTACAAGGTTGAATCTGAGCTTATTATATTATTGTTGTTATTTAATTTTAATATGTAAGAATAAATTGAACTCAAATCATCTATGTCTGTCATTCGGTTTAAAGTACGCGGACATTCATTTATAGCCACCATCTCCAAAAACTTCCTCCTAAAAGTGTTCTTCTCCACATACAAGATCTCACAATCGTCATAGGCTACTCTATGATCTTCATCAATAACATGTTCCGCCAGCGAGCATGACCTAATGGACCTCCTACAATCACTTTTGTGAGAAGTAATTCTACCCTTGAGGGACCTAGAAGTTTGGCCAACATAGAACGAATCACAGTCCGAGCATCTGAGTCTGTATACAACATTGATTTTTTGGTTTTTTTCCAATGGTGTTTTTATTCTTGTATACAGGGTCTTCAGCTGGCCAGTGAGGCGTAGCGCCAACTTGATGTTTTCACCCTTAAAAACTTGAATCAATTTAGGAGTCAAGTCTTTTATGAATGGAAGACAACTAAAAATAATGTTAACCTCTTCGCGAGGAGGGGTACTTAACTCTTGATCCAGAGCGGGTATGGTGGTCGACCTATGATTTAAAATCTGATTTTTTTATTATATAAAATTTTATTAATTTAGAGGGGGGATATGAATTATTAACAAGAATGGACCTGAGGTCACTCAAGCAGACACCCCTGTAGGAATTCTGTGAGAGACGAGAGACCCTGTCACCGAGAGCACCGACGAGGCCCAGTTTCATTCGTGTAGGGTGGTCTGAATGGTAGTTAATGTATCTACCACTACTGGTAGGTTTTCTATACCATTTCGTGACTATTTTATTGTCAGGTCTCCTAATTAACCTCATGTCAAGGAAAGGAATTGAATTATCAACCTCCCTTTCAATAGTGAATTTGAGACTGTCACTAAGATCGTTAAAAACGTCTAGAATGTGATCAGTTTTGTCCATAGGAACCGACAATATAAGGTCGTCAACATACCTCTTAATAAACGGAATGTTATATGGGATCTGCTCAATGCCCTGGGCGAGGAGCCCGTCCAGAACATAGCTCCGAAATTATGGGGGAAATGCTAGCTCCCATGGGTGTGCCATAAATTTGCTTATAAAATTTGTCATTAAAGACAAAGACTGTAGAATCAAAAACAAAATTTAAAATTTGTGTGAAAGAGGCCAAATCAAATGGTGTGTGGGGGGATATAGTATCCCATTTGTCTTTTATGGTCTTCTGGGCTAGATCAAGAGGTAAGTTAGTAAAAAGCGAAACAACATCGAGGCTAACAAGAACGTAGTTCTGAGGCAATTGAAATTCATTAATAAATTCACAAAAAACAAAAGAATCGTCAATATAAAAAGGGTTAGATTTGTTGTATGCTTTAGTGAGTACAGTGGTGAGATATTTTTCTAATTTACTATTGGGGGAATTGATTGAGGAGATAATTGGTCTAAGTGCAAGGGCAGGCTTGTGAATCTTAGGAAGTCCATAATATCTAGCTGCCGTAGAATTATAGGTTTTTAGACTTTTGGCCAATTCTTTATCAATAATTTCCAAGTTACTGAAATTCGAAATTAATTTGTTTGCTTTCACTTCCAGAGTGCTGGTGGGATCGCGTGGGAGTGGCTTGTAATACTTAGTATCATTGAGTAAACCATAGCTAAGGTTTAGGTAATCAGCCCTGTCCATGACAACAGTGACGTTACCCTTATTACTAAGGGTCACGATAAGTTCAGGGTGTTCAACTAAAAATTGTTTTGTTTCTTTTATTTGTTTACTTAAAATGTGTGTTTTTCTGCTGTCACCATGGAGAAAGTTGACTATTACATTTGTAAACCTGCCACGTACAATATCTTTCTTATTTTTATCAAAACCAGAAACTGCTAACTCCAGATCACTGAGCAATTCAGGAATTTTAATTGTATTTGCATTAGGAGAAATATTAAATTTTGGACCAAGTATTAAATTTTGTTTTGGACCAAGTATTAAATTTTTTTTTGTCTCTTTTTTACCCCCTTGGTTCCTTCAGAACCAACGGTGGTTTTACCTTTGATTAAATGTTTTTTAATGATAATAAGCAATTTGCGTGGAGTGCACTGTCAGTTTGGTGCATTGCCTTTTCTTGGATTGTCCAAGCCGCACATTGTCTTTGCCTTGTCACTCAACTGTCTTAATTTGCTGATTTTGTTTGTTCCCCCCCCTTTTTGCGGAGTGTGTTTCTGTAGTTTTTTACACCTTATGTAATTTTGTAATTTTGGAAGTATTGCCAATACTATGAAAAGGTTTGGTTCATGAATTTCCTGTGAATTTAATAAAAAAATTGTGAAGGAAAAATTTGTACAATTTAATGATTTTTTGTGACAGTTTTTCACATTGATTAATATGAACATTATTGTCATATTTTCCTCATTACCTTCTTCACATTTGGCCTTTTCTAAGTGTTTGCATTGCACCTCTTGTCTTTTTTCAGAATTTTTAGCACATCCTAATGTTTATTCAATTGCTTATAAGAAAATTCTTTTTCTGATTGCGCTCGGTGTATTTCTGGTTGCAGATATTTGGTGACATTTTCTGAATTGTAAATGTAATTGTATTTTTACCACCTAATTGTTTTTTGCTCTCGTTGCACGAGTAAGGGTGTTTTATTAATGTTTATTAGTGTTTTTTAGTGTTGTGCCTTGATCACTCCACTTTTCTACATGACCACCCACACCATTGGTTTTTTACATGAATACAATTATGGACATGCCACAGCCTTGTTCGACATCCATAGATCACTTTTACTAACTTGACTTCTGACAATTGACTTTTGACGTTTGGATGTCGCGGTTGTCGCCTGTCAATTGTTTTGCGCCTCCACGCTTCGGATTGAGACGCAAAAAATTCTTTAATTTAAAAATTTCTAACATCTCCTAATTATTCTAATGTTCTAACTTATATTTGGCGGCTTAACCGCCTTATAAGAGTCCTTGTGGTTGACTGGTCAGCGATGCTTTCACGGTGGAGTTATCAACACAAACCATGTTTAATGTAGTTTTTATGAAGGTATTTTCTGTACCACGTTAAGTAAGTCTTATTCTTAACTTTTATAACAGCAATTGTCTAACTTGTATTTCCATTTTAGTGTCCTGAGGAAGGAAAATAAATTCCGAAAGCTTGACAATTAACAAAGTGTATTAATTCTTTTGTCAAACCCTTCCGACTGCAACCCCACTAAATCCCAGATTTTCTTTCTCACTAGTCAGTCGAGACTACTTTCTGCTTATATATATATATATATATATATATATATATATATATATATATATATATATATATATATATATATATATATATATATATATATATATATATATATATATATTCACCCTGTATAATAAATCTAAATAAACTACGGAGTTTCTAGAGTCAATATATTCACATAAAAGTTAAACGAAATATTTTAAATGTTATGTTTAAGTATGTTAATATTCAATTTTATAACAAATTAATGTGAAAAATTAAATTGTCTTGACAAATAAAAAATAACAATGTTGCGTTTTGTTTATAATCCTTAAAGAACATTGTAGTCCTTAACGATTTAATGTCCGAGTTTTTTAAAACTTGCTTTGTTAATACGTCACATGATTAGCAGAACAATTTATTTGACGTCAAAATAAATAATTAGTTTCTGTAAAAACAGTCCAAAGTATTTTTTCTAAATTAATTAAATTTATACATATGTCACACTGCAGTAATTTGCTTATCCTTGGATGCATTCATTATTGTTTTAAACAAAAGAATCAACATGTTTTAGATATGCAGCGGTATCATCACTAGTTAACATAAGACCTGTTTTGTGATATTAAGTCTAAGCTGCCTAAAGAAATGAAATTATTTTTGAATTTAATTTTGTTAAATATGTGTTACAATTTAAGTTTTATTAACGCTATGCATCCGGAAGTTAATTTAAATTTTGTAAGTATTTTTGGCTTTTGTGTTTGTGTATTGTTATATATTTATTTTTAAATACTTATAATTGATTTTTCTGCAAGGACCCAGGCTCAAGGCAAATGAGGTAGAGAATGATTGAGTATTGAAACTAAAAGAATTTCGGACTTCCTATTGTCTTTATTTATTATTACTTACACAACGGTTCAGTCAGATTACTTTTGAAAGGAATATCAGAAAAGATCAGACTATAATATCCAAATAGCATAAAATTAAAATTGTTTTTAAATCTGGGACTACTCTAAGAAATGTTTTAACAAAAGCAAACCAGGGAATATCAGAGCAAGAGAAAGAGTGTATCTACCATGTACCTTGTGGATGCGTTGAGCTGTATATTGGAGAGACAAAATATCTAAATGTACGACTTAACGAACAAAAAAAAACATAGGCAAAAATGTGAAACCATAAAGTCAGGTATTTCAGACCATGTGTGGTCCAAGCACCACTATATAGGATTACAAGAAACCTCAAAAGCGTAAATTTAAAGAAACCGTATTGATATCTAGCAATAATAATCTGGAGCCATCCAAAAATGGAGATTTCTATAATATGTCAACCACTTATAAAACGTACCAGGGACAAGACAGAAGAAATGTTACTTAGACCCAGCCAAAGTGCCAGAGGGGATTTCCCCTAGCACTTAACCAGAAGCTTCCCGACAAACTACAAGGTCTCGCATCTCCTAGAGGAATATGCTATGCCTGTGTCCCTGTCTGCTACTCCAGTTACCATGCAGGTATTCTTACTGGACAACCTCCCACTTCACCTAAATGTTTGTTGCCGAGTAATTTTAGGAATTAGATGTTCATACTTGATAATGGTCAGTGATACATCTGACCGAAACGCTCTGTAAGTAAAAATAAGTAGAAACCAAGTCCGGAATTGTTTTAGCGTCAGTACCATTTTTTTTAAGATGAGAAAAGTTATTTACAGCCAGAGTGTTGGGGTCACCTCTCATCCGAGTCATACCTACTAAAAACCCATCTGTAGAGTTATCTCTCCAATCTCGGAACCGCCTTGCAGCATTACATCAAGACTGAAGATTGTTTCGCCACTTATGTCTGTGTCTGCCAAATTTTAATCTTTTCGTCCTCCTGTTTTTTTAAGCATGATGGCTCTCATAATCCTGGTTATTTCTTCACAGTCCTCTCTTGTTTCCATCATAAGCTCGCCGACATTTTCCCTTGTGATTTTAACCTTGCATATTTGTTCCGCCGATGATCTAGTCTCTGAATGCCTACTACACTCGAATAATGTGTGATTGGCCGTGTCTGATGCTTTACAATACCAGCATTTTGTGGATTCCGCCTTAGTTATTCTAAAGAGATACTCTCCAAAAGCACCGTGCCCTGCCACCGCCTGGGTGATGTAGTAGTCCGATTTCGTCCACGTGTTGTTTATCCAGACCCTCACGTCCGGGATAAATATTTTAATTCGTCCCTGATATGCCTCCCATCTGTTTTACCATTTGTCCAGTATTATCTTCCTGTCCTCTGATCGATACCCCAAGCCCCCCCGTGCCTGCATATCAGATTTCTTTCCTCGATTTGTAGGGAATTTTTGCTAGAGCGAGAACTGCTTCTGTGGAAACTGTACGATACGCCGACACTACGATTAGGGCTAGAATTCTGTTAATTCTCTCGAGGACTTTTTCATAATATTTGTAATCTGTTCCCCTGCTCCAAATGGGCGAGGCGTACTGGATCATCGAATGCACAACCGAGGCAAGCATTCTCCTCTTTCCGTCACTGGAGCCTCTAATATTGGGAGTGATTCTGGTCAGCTGTTTGATGGCATCAACCGTCGTGTCCTTATTTTAGGGACATGCGAGCAAAGCAAACACCCATATATTTTATTGCCTTTTGAGGTCTCATGTGGTAATTTCCCAATTGGATATTTAAGTTCGTCGTCTTGCGATGTCCTACCAGAACGACTAGTTCTGATTTTACTGGTGCAAGATGTATGTCCATTCTATCCAACTTATTGGTTATAGTTAGAGCAGCTGTTTGTATCTTTTCTTCGGAGATAGTGATGGTTGGAGCGGTGATCAGGACAGCCAGATGATCCGCATAAGCAATCAGTAGATTACCTGGTCCAATATCGACCCTCAGGATTTGGTCATAGAAGACCTTCCACGAGGTCGGTCCTAGAATGGACCCCTGCGGTACCCCGCACCATATCTTGTGTTTTTTGCAGTTTTCTGCAATTACATATATTTTCGACAGGAAAGACTTAATCATAACGATGAGGTATTTACTGATCTCCATGATCTCTAATTGTGCAACAATTCCTGTCCATGGGGCAGAATTGAATGCGTTTTTAATGTCTAATGTAAGCAGTGCCGCGTATCCCCTGTTCTTATATGATTTCGTTTTGATACGGTCTACGTTACTCGTAACGATGTTTAACCCGTCTATCGTAGATTTACCTCTGCGAAACCCATATTGGTTTGGGTGTAGTCTGTTTCCATCCTCTAGTTCTTTCTCCAGTCTGTCCCTCTCAGAAGACATTCTAACAGTTTGGCACTTGAATTAATTAAACATATTGGACGATAGTTTTTGTCTTGACTTCCATCTTTATTGGGTTTCTCTGCTAGAACAAGTTTGGCAATTTTCCACTAGTTTGGAAACTGTCTGTTGGTAAGATATTTGTTCAGGATCTCAGTGATTTTCTGGGGGTCTTGCATAGCAGCAATTTTGATAACTTCCACCGGTATGTAGTCCGGGCCAGGAGCTTTTTTGTTTTTTCAGTTTACTTGCTGCAAAAAAAACCACATTACATCGTTCTTTTTTTTCTGGTATATCCCAACTATTTGACTGAGCTTTAGAGAACAATGTTGTGATCTGTTTTTCTATTATGTTATCTGTAACGGAAGCGTTGCGTCTGCCGATGAACTTTCTCATTACCAGTTGGTAAGCCTTACCCCAAACATCGGACTCAAGTTCGTCACAGAGCTCTAGCCAATTCCTTTCTTGCTCCTAAGGATTTCTTTTTTAAGACTGTGCCTCTTAAAAAAGAAATCCTTAGCTTCAGTACCAAGACAAGTCTGGCTCGCTACTAATATACCTAAAAATAACGAAGATATATTAAAGATTTACGAAACTTGTAAACCAATTCAAAAAATATCACAATATAGTGGTGAAATTTTTCAAAACAGATTTTATTTGACTAAATAAATAATGTTTTTAGGAACAAAGAGTAAAGAGACATGGTTATCCTCTCGAAGTCCACACTATAACCACAGAAGATGATTATATGATAGACTTATTGCGCATTCCACGTGGTATATCTAAGTCTTCGAACGAGTCGAAAAATAAAAGTGTCATACTGATTATGCATGGAAACGGTGGATCACCGCATAATTTTATAACATTGGGAAGAAAAGTGGCACCAGCATATTATTTTGCCGATAGAGGTTTCGACGTATGGTTGATTTGCGGTCGAGGTGTACATTGCGTCACATCAAAAAAACATAAGAAATATGATTGGAATAAAGATTCAGAGTATTGGAACTTTAGGTAAAAACTCTTTTTCCCAGTTTTCCTAGCAGTTGCTACTTCAATACTGATTATACTTCAAATAATACTATATTGTTACAGTTTTCATGAAATAGGCCTATACGATGTTGCTGCAGGCATAAACTTCGTTACGAATACTACCAACCAAAAGAAAATATTTTACATAGGTCATTCGGCAGGTGTGAATGAGATTTACGCCTTGATGTCAGAGAGACCGGAATTCAATGAAAAAATTAAAATTGTGACCAACTATGCTGGAAGTCCGATTCTAACTCAAATGGACTATCCTGCTTTAGAAACAATCATTGAATTAGCACATGTTTTTAGAGTAAGTAAAGTGGACCATCACATTGAATTAAAATAATCTTTCAGTTTTTCTTTTATTATTGAATCTTCTGTTCTTTATTAAAATATTACAATGTGACTGAAGCTATAGTAGATGGAGTTCCACTAAATATGTTCTGTCCAATTAACGACAGGACCGGGCTTACCTTCTTACTTACACCTCCTGCAGTTTTTAGACATTTTTATAGTAATATCTTATTTGATTCTGTGGGTTGTATTTTACTACAAGTGTTGCGGCCCCTAATATCTATAGTGGCCTCAGTTCTACAACAGTTAAGTTTCATCCTCACCCGAGGATGATAAGTCTTCTAAGTCAGATAGAATGTAGAATGAGAGGGGGCTTCTCTTATCAGGAGGGGTTATCACCACAACCTTACAGATCCATTGTGTCCTTCTTTCTTGAGATATAAGTCATTATCACAGGGCCTTGACAAAAGCGAGTATATGAGACGTATATACAGAGGGAAGCTTTAGATCTCGTATATCAGTGGTACCAAAGTTTGTCGTCTCGGCGTACACAGTGATGGGGTGTTCTGATGTTCCTCCATTCTCTCTACAGAATCTCCATTCGCCGTTCTTTCTTAGGTTCAATCTACTGAGATCTTCATTAAGGAGACAGTGTTCTGTTAAAAACCCCGTAACAATCCAAAGATTGTTCTTACTTGTATCAAAGAATCCTTGATTTTTCTCGTTCGTAGATCCTGAAAAACTTCTTCGAGTGTTTTAGAGTGTTGGAGGATTTCCATTCAAGGTTACGGATGGAATCTTTCAAGTTCTTCAGTTCCACTTTTAGTTGGTTCTCTAGGCATTCTTTGACCAACTTCTAATTGATTGATACAGTTAAGACTATAGGATGGCTATTTCTTGTTTCCGATAGTTTCTATCTAAGATAAGTTGTACGCGTCTTTCGATATGTGCCCAGTGGTTCGGAGTATTCAGATCTCGGCCCAGTTACTCCGATCCCTGGTTCTCCACTGCTTTTGGAAGCATCAGTATACCAATTTATGATATGGACTTTTAACTGCTAAGAAAATGTTTCTGTTTTCCAATTTTTTTATGGCTCGGTTTTGATGTGTTTCTCAATTTCTCAGAGTTGTACATTCTTGATATATACACTGGAAGTTGGGTGAGTAGTACTTCCTTTTTGATATTCCGCAGAAAAAAAATCGTTGGTATTTGGGAAGGCTTGAAAGGAAACAATGTTTTTGCGACGTTTCGCGACTTTATTGTCGCTTCCTCAGGCACCTTTTGGTATCTTCTTGGTTCAGGCACCTTCAGACACCGTACTAACTACTGGGAACTAACAATAATCATAACTTTTTGATATCGTTGCAAGCCCCTGAGCTAAAATGAATTCTCACAGTACTGATTCCATCAGTAACCATTCTAATCATTATCGCATTCGCATATCTACCGATGACAATGTGCAGTTGTTAGGTCTAGAATGACCTCCATTGCTGATTTTGGGCAGATACTCATGGTTGCTATAATGCAGATGCATGCCAGACTCTGGACTTTGTATAGGTTTACCCGTGCCGTACGTTGCTAAAGTCTGATAAGTCCAGCATAGTTTTGCCAAACAACGCAATACTGAAGTCAGTATACGCGTAGCATTTCTGCTAGACTTTAAGTGTTCTCCTGTCCCGCCAATATTCTCTTGGCATGTTCCATTTGCGACTGTCGTTCCATTCTGAAACATTCCTCCAGGTCTCTTTCCAGATTTTTAAGAATATTAAGTACTGGTTCTGGTCTTACGAATGTCGTACCTACATCTGTTTTGGCGAGGCAGTCGAAACGTTCGTTTCTCCCTAGCCACGATACATCGTTTTTCTATCTATATTAGTTGTCCTGTATACTGTATGTATACTGTATTCATCCACTGCGTATATACTGGATGCAAGATCTTGGGTATTTACCCATATTTCAATATACCGGTTGTTTGTCCATCACTGAATTCTTCTACTAAACGGTTAGATTGTAGATTGTATGCGAGGGGGGAAGTTAATCACCGCGACCTTATAGATATATTGTATGCCTTTTTCTTGATTTTTAACTCATCATTTACACTCAGGGCTTTGACAAAAGCCAGTATCTGGGACGGTTTTATAAAGAGAAATTCTTCATCTCCAGTATCAGTTGTACCAAAATTTATGGCACGAATGGTTGTCGTCTCGGCACACTTAGTGATGAGGTGTTCTGATGTTTTCCCATTTTCTTTCACAGAATTTGCCTTACCGTACATTGTTCTAGTTTTGTGTACGAAGGAACTGTTCCATAAATAATCATGGGTCTTACTATCATGGTATATATCCTGCGCAAAATGTTAGGGGTACAGCCTCATCTATATCCTTATTCCCGGCCAGTCTTTCGCATATCATAAGAGCCTTTGTGGCTTTGCTGGTAATGTTCTTAATGTGCCTGTCCCACAGAAGTTTACTGCTCAGGATTATTCCCAGATATTTGACTTCCTGTGATGGTAGTATTTCTTTTCCATCTAGGTGGAAGTTTTTCAGACTTCGCTTTCTGGTGACACTGCCGCAGGTTTGTCTGAGTTCATGCACAGTCCGACAGTCCTGCACCATTTCTCAGATGTCTGGTTAATATCACACAGGGTGCCTTTATGTTTTCCCGAGCGATCATGACTATGTCATCTGCATACCCAATACAGTGTGTTTCCGCTAGATTTAATTCGTCTAGTAGTTCATCCACTACTAAGCTCTACAGCAAAGGGGAGGATACTCCACTTTGTGGAGTTTCTTGCATTGCATTGCATTTTCTTTAATTTACAGCTAGGGTTTTGGTGCCCATCTGAGCCTCTGCTGTCCGTGTTGACAACATTTCCCAAAACCAGCAAATAATAGTTCTGCTTACTCCTCTTGTTTCTAGTGATCGCCTAACCTTACCTTAGTGCCTTTGACAATATACCTTGTTTGGTATATTGTCAAAGGCACCGAAAGTACCCAAGAAGACGGTCTTACAGAAGTTAGTTCCGATCATACATACATATCCGATATCAGTCATGCCAAAGTCAAAGAAATATAGTTCGTAGTGGTAATATATTTACCAAAATTTATGGAAAGAATTACAGAATCTTATAGACTCCGTTTATTGTGTCTGACTGAAGTACATAATAGTTGAACTTGATCGGTCACTGCGTTGTTATAATATTATAGATTAGATACTACATATATTATAAATATTAATATTTATATTCATTTTTACCAGGGTTTGGCAAAACTACTAAACCTATACGAGTTGGTTTCAGCGCCGGTTGCGGAAGTGGGAAATTCTCTTGTTAAACATATGTGCGCTGACCCAAAATTTAAGCGCGCATGCAAGGCAGCTATTTGGTGTTTTGGTTCGCACGTTTCAACTCTTATAGAGGACGTAAGTATTCCTTTTTTTAGTTTATTTCACTACTATAAATAGACTTTTAGTTGGATAATACCGAGTCTCTAATAATTTTGACCTGTAATTAATTTAAGCTTTGATTCATCAATACAAAAGTATTAAAATTAGTAGAAAATTTATTTTGGCTACTTCGCACCTATCAAAATATTTTAAAAATCGGCATGAAAGTAGTAGAGAATGATGAATTATGAAACAAAATATCTTCTTTGATTGATCTTTTTTAATTTTGAAATTTTACACACTATTTCGGTCAGATGTGTCGCTGGACGTTATCATGTGTGAATATACTAGAGTAAGTCATTTACCCATGAGGAAGTTTGGTGTAGTCAGGCGTGAGGTTGTCCGCTGAGGAGGCTAGCATGGTATGCTTGGTAAGTGGTTGCCATATTGTAGAAATCTTTGCTGTAAAGCAATTTAAGTGTTGAAATTTCTATATTTCGATATAGCCACTTCTTATCAAACGTACTAATGCTGGCTGATATGATATTGGGTTTGGGTTATAAATTGGAACCCTGTAGATTGTATGGGAGTTAAGAAGTTAATCACCGCGACCTTATAAATCTATAGTATCCCTCTTTCTTGGGTTAAAACTCATCATACAGTCTCAGGATAAAAGCCAGTATCTGAGACTGTTTTACAGAGGTTAGTTCTCCATCTCTGATATCAGTTGCTACAGAGGTGTTCATTGAGAAGACAGTGTACTGTTAAAAACCTCGTGACAAAAAAAAAGATTGTTTTTGCTTAAATCAAGAAAAACTTTTGATTTTTCTCGATCGTAAGTCCTGATAAATTTCTTTGAGTGTCTTAGATCGTTGGAGGATTCCCATTCCAGGTTACGGGTTGGGATATCTATTAGAATTATGTTTGTTCCTTACAGAACACGCTATAAAAAATTCCGTAAACAAAATGAACAATATTATTTCTTATCTCTTAAATAATATCAATTTTAAAAGAATCAATCATTTAAAAGATATTTAAAAACCAGATTATGATTAATTTTTGCGTTACTTTAAATATTGTCTTTAATTTTTAGAATGTGGTTGAAATAATTGCCAGTGGAGCACCACCACGTTTTTCAATGAAGGCACTCATTCATCTAATGGACAATGTAAAGAATGGTAAAGCAAAAATTTATGTTTATATTTAACAATCTCTTTATTGAAGAGTCCATTTCACTAGAAAGTAAAAGCAGCAAAATATGCGTTCGGCATTTAACGTTTTATGCAAAACTGACTAGGTATTTTTACACAAATGAAGAAGGAAATTAAAGATACAGGGTTATACTATATCCGTATTGTAGCACATTTTTAGACAACTTCTTTATTTTTAAGATTTTGATGGTCAAACATCAACAAAATATTCCTTATGTTTGGACAACATTTTCTCAAAAATAAATACATAATTTAAAATTCCGTTACAATACGGAAGTAAATTGAAATTTTATAATTGCAGTGATATATAATTTATATGGTTTTGTAACAAATTGCTCGCTATTTTATGGCAAATGCTGAAGCTCTGCAAACCTTAATCAAGCCTTAATCAAAGCTCGTGTATTGGAATTTTGGATGTGGCTTTTTTTTCCCTTCATTTTCTTCAGCCACACACCCGCTTTACCCGATCCCTGAGAGCAACCCGAACAGTACAGCGTAATAGACTCTGAAGTTCATTTCTTCCTATACTATAACAGCAATTGTCAGATGGTATATGAGTATTTTTTTTGTTATACGTTTGTCATTTGCATAAACTTATTTTAGAAAACTCAATACTATTTTTTCTGATTTGTTAGAAACATTTCCACACCCAGAGTATAATGTATAGTCATTTCCAAGAAAGTTGGCTTTTAAAGGAAAAGACAAATGAGATATTTAATGGTAGATAATAGCCGTTACGAAGTGACCAATGATATTTTTACAAATATCCTTAGATCTTGTTTTATTTTTGTTGAAGACATATCAGGATATCAGCGACATTCGATTATGCGACCGTCTCTGTCTTTGAGACTGACTTGATCAATATATTGTAGCGTTTTTTATAAACATTCACATTCAATTGGACACAGTCCGTCCATAAGATAACGGTACAGGGGAACACTACCCGTACCTTGGACACAGTCCGTCCATAAGACCCTAAAAATACGAAACTCTTGTTTAAAACCAAACAAGGTCTAATAAACAAAATAAACCTACCTCGAAATACTTCCGAGGGCTCAATAATAAACAAAGAAACTGTCCTTTCTTCCATGTAACATTCTGGAGGACAAAAGCAAAAGAACACCAATGTGCCAGCAAAATACAAATACAAGAGTTAAGGTGGGTTAATCCAAAACTCTACCCTAAAAATATTCAATAATAATAACGAATCTAATAAAGATAATATCTCATCTTTACCTGTTGCTTCGAAATGGCAGCTGATTCAGATTTTGCAGCAAGATTTAAATTATTACCATTTCTAAAAGCCGGGTGAACAAAAGTGAGGTTAAGCGCGGAGAGCGACCTAACCTTGGAGCGATCTTGACAGCCCCTCCACAGAGCAGTGAAACGATAACAGGGTTGGCGACTAGGGAACGTAAAAATTACGCGAAGCGTGCCAAATAAATTATCAGGCCTGAACGATACGGAATCCGATGACGATACGCCAGACATCATATAAATCATATATAAAAAATACATGTAACGAACTAAAAACGTTACAATATTGTCATATTAGTTACTTATTAGATTAGATTCTACTCTACTATTTACTGGGATGTTAAGACGACGTGAAACAAAGACGACAAAAGCCATTTTACACGTATTTTAATATTGTCAATTCCTTGTAGCTAAATTGGAAAGTATAAAATATGAATGCTCACTATGAATATGTCTATTTTTAGCTGCTTTTCGTCAATATGATTATGGTGCGAAATTAAACAAGAAAATTTATGGACAACCTCTACCGAAAGAATACAACATATCCGCTTGTACTGCTCCCAGTGCTTTCTTTAGTGGTGCTACCGACTCTATTGTGCTCAAAGAGGTAAAAATTATTTTTACGGCAACTTACAAAATACAAACAATAAGACCTACAATAAAACTAGAATTGACAAAAAATATATCCATATACCGGAGAGAACCTATACATAATATATTCTGTAGTACTAGGCTTAGAACCTTAGAACTAAACATTTTTTTATCAATTGTTATACGTTATACTTCAACTTGTCATTACGTTTTGTAGGATACATATTCATTTTTCTAAAATCATATAATCTCATGTATGATTTACAGTTATTAACTATTTCATTTTTTTTATCAGTAATGATAGTTTCATCTACATACAATTGAAGGGGTGACTGCAATACCCAGGCAGCTCCATTTTAATAAATTTGTGGGAAATCGAAAAAGAGCTGCTCGGTTCTTGCTGCAAACCCAGAGAAAGGCAGCTCCCACTACCGTCGCCATTTATGTACTGTTATATTGAGTGAACTGATTGCTGCAGGAGACGATCGGCCAATTTTTTTAAAGGGTAATTCATTAAAAATCTAACGTTCGAAAAAAAATGAAGCTGCTTGGTTATTGCAGCCAATTCTTCAACTGAACCAAATTTCAGGCAGAGGAAAGAAAATGTGGCATTTCGAAGTTGTTGAGACACATTTTACACAAAACGTTTTTATTAGAAGACAATTTTTTAATAAAAAGATTAATTTTTGATTTTCCATTGCCTTATAAATTGTTTATTGTTTAATACAACGTTTTATTGTGAATTTCAGAAATGCAGTAAATGTTAACAGTTACTAAGGACTGCTAAGAATATGGATCAGTGAATGTCGTATTATAGAAAAAAAATAAAGAAATTTGTCGACTTTTACCAGGAATTGTAAGCATTCGCTAGTGAGAGCAACATTTACTAAAAGTTGTTAATAAAAGTAATTCTACAATAAACAGCGCGTTTATGGAAGTGGGAACAAATAAAACTTTTAAGAACATTTAATCATCCATATCTAAGCTGATATCCATCCCAAGCTATAACCCATATTAAAATTACAAGAAAACGATAATAAAACAAAAACAATAAAACTAAAATAAAGTTAAATAAGCATCAAGTTTTTAATATAGCTAATTCCTGGTGATTGACCATCAATCGACAAGAAAGAGTTGAATACTTTGGTTTCAAGCTTTTTTTGGTGCTTCTCGTGTTTTTTTTTCACTTTTAATGCGAATTTCATTGAGTGCGTTGATTTTAGAATTCACTGTCTCACGTCAAATTTTCATTCAGCTACCCAACATGCAAAATTTATTGTTGGAACATTGCCAAAACTTCGCAAAGCAAGGTGTAACATTGCTTTTTTCATTTTAGGGAGGTTTATGCAAGGTGGCAGGCTAGCTTAATCTTTCGCCAAATACCATTGCACTGCAAGGTTGAAAAAAATGTTGATGCAAGTTTATTGAAACCTTGTCACAACCTCGTGAGAAGATTTCACAATATTATTGAAACGTTGCTAATGTAACGTTCAAGAAAGTACTTATTTGAGATTTATTAGCAATATTGTTAATTTTCCGTCAATACAATATTGGTAAAATTATATTGTACCTATGTTTCAAAACTTATTGTCCATTAAACTTTCTATTTTGTTATAACTTATTAACTGACTTATTGCCAAAATAATATAGCAAAAAATAGATAATGTTCGCAATAAAAAACCATTTCATTCATCGGAGAGTATACATAGAAATGATTTTTTAATATTTACTTATCAATTAATGAAAAAGTTTTTTCTTACGAACATTAGCAATTTTATGTTAACAATAATACATCAATAATAGGTTATAATCAACAGAAACATTAATGGGTATTAAATTTTAGACTTTCAGATAGGTATAATATAATTTTACTAATATTGTATTGACGAAAAACAAAAAATATTGATAAAAATATGCATATCTCTATATCCATTGACTTAGAAAAATTAAAAATGCTCGGTATAAATATAGCCCTACCAAGAAAGTCGAATTTGTCAAAGAAATTGAAAAAAACAAATAAAAATTAGAAATTTATCACTTACTTGTTTCAAAAATATCAAAAATACTGTCAAGTACTGAGAACTTACTGATCTTTTCGGCTGCTCATTAAATAAGGAATTACACAACTCCAACCTCTGAGTCGAATTTCTAAAAAAACCTTAAAGTTGAATGTCTGAAATAATACAAAATATATAGGTACAGTATAAACATTATTATATATTTCTTATTCAAAAATACAAAAGGAAAGTATATCATTAAATATATGTACAAGGAAAGGCTTATATTTTAATTGATTTTTTGGATCTTTCACATTTTGTCTTCGCATGTTGAATTGTCTTATTCATGGTTTCAAATTCCTCTTCGGTAAAGTTTTGAAATCTATATCCAATCATTTCTAAAGTAGTAAAAATAAAAACAATCAGTTGTAATAAATATATATATATAAAACAATGAGTAACTTACCTCTTGTGACAGTAATCTTTGAAGCCCCTTTATGTCCTTATTTTAAAAATTTCAAATGATTAAAACATCATTAAAAAAATATTATTGAGAATAATTAATACTGAATGTTATTTGTGATTTTATCATTAGATTGATATCTACTCGTATCCTGGTTTTATCTACTTCAATTTTCAGTGAGCTAAAAGCTAACCTAAAGCAAAATTCAGCTTATAAACAAACTAAACAAAATTTGTTATACTTATTCATGGCTAAACATTATTAAAACACACATGATAATAAAATTATACTTACATTTACATTCATTAAAATCTCATTCGAAAAGCATAGAACGTGATATCAAAAACGATGCAAAAACGTAAAAAAAACAAATGGGTTAACCTAACCTAACTTCTAACTTATACCGTATGATCAAAAAAATGCGTCAGCGATGGCTATGAAAAGAAAATCGCTCTCATTTTATATGTAAAATTATATGGGGAATGTCATCTATATTCATTTCCAAGCCAACTAGACGCCGTTTTTTTCGATCTTATGGTATATTTGTTATATTATTAATTATCATTAACTTGCGCGGATCTTTCATTTGAATCTTTGTTGCAATGTTGCACAAAAAAAGGTTTTAATCACCATTCAAAAACAATGTTTCTGTAGCAAGGTTTCATCAATCACGACACAACGTTTAGAAATCAACATTACAGAGCAAACTGTTTGGGGATGTTGCAATGTTGCATATGTAATGTGAGATTTCTTCCTTGGTGGGTATTGTATCGATCGCGAATCTGATATTAAATTGTGGATAGTAAGCTATGGCCAGCTGCTAGAAGGAATTGTTTGTTTCAAAATTAATTGTTGAACTTTTACTTTCCCAGTAAATATTAGCTTTTACTAGTAATTGTTAACATTCACTGATTTTTGGCTTTTACTGTAACATATACTTGACAGATACTTGAATGTCACTGCTACTGTATATAAATACAAGGAGTGTGTTAAGTGACATGTTCTTCTCTTTAGTAAACAATTTGTTACCAACAACCAAACAAATAACTGTTTACCTTTATTAGATATTATCTTGCCAACGCTACTGCTTCAAAAATACTAATAAAGCTTATTGGTTTCAGGAAATGTGGAAAACGCAAGAACTGCTGAGCAATACCATACTGGATTATGAAGTCGGTCCCAGCTTCGTCCATTTGGATTTTATTTTTGCTAAAAACGCCACGTTCTTGCTTTACGAGCCCACCCTGAAACTTTTTAAAGATTTCGATGCTGGAAAAATCCCACCCAGAATATTACGCAAAAGAAATGTTTAGATTTCCTAATAAATTTTATTAAACAAAATGAGTTTTCTATTACACCTTGCAGTACAAGTTATGCTTGATTTATTGCATATTATCATTGAGAAAAAATAATAATAATGATGATATTAAATGTCGTTATTAAGAATTATTGTAATACAATAATTAAGTATAGAATTACATAGAGAAAGAAAAAAAAGTATACTATAATTATTATAATTACCATACCTAAATAAGAATAATACCCTAAAAGAATTCAAAAATAAAGATGTTTAATATTGATACTTCTTCTTTTTCTTTACGTGCCGTCTCTTTCGTGGAGGTTGGCAATCACATTGGCAAAATCTTTACGATTCTTGGCTTTCCTTATGAGTTCTTCAAAAGTTAGGTGAGTCCAGTTTCTGATGTTTCTCAACCAAGATAGTTTCTTCCTGCCGAGACCTCTCTTTCCTTCAATCTTACCCTTAACTATCAATTGTAAGACGTGGTATTTTTCATTTCTCAATATATGCCCTAAGTATGATGTTTTCCTTATTTTTATTATATTGAGCAATTCTCTTTCTCTGCCTATTCTGTTGTAGACTTCGGTAGTTGTGATATGGACTGTCCATGGAATTTTAAGCATTCTTCCATATATCCATGTTTCGAACGATTCGAGGCGATTCATCTCTTGAACTTGTCTCTGCTCCGTATAATAGGATTGACCAAACATAACACTTAACGAGCCTAGTTCTCAACTCAAGGTCCAATCTGAGTTCCTGGAAGACGTCCTTCATTTTTAAAAATGCATTTCTCGCTTGTTCTATTCTGGTTTTTATTTCCACGTCGTTGTTCAAGGTGTTAACTATCCAGGACCCCAAATATTTAAACTTGTAGACCTGTTCTAAGATATTGCCCTCTATTTTAATAGGAATTGGTACATTTTGGTTCTTTCCAAATACCATGACTTTAGTTTTAGAAGAATCGATCTTCATCCCGTATTTCTTACAGGAGCTTTCAAGTCGTTCCACTAAACTCTGGAGACCAGTATCATAATCGGCAATAAGAACTGTGTCATCGGCAAATCTAATGACTTCGCCGTTAATGACTTCGCCGTTGACTTTAATACCGCAATCTGTTGAAGAGAAAGCTTCCCGAAAAATCGCCTCAAAATAAACATTAAATAACGAAGGAGACAGCACACATCCCTGTCTTACTCCTCTCTGTATATTGACTGGATTGGAATTGTCATTTTCAACTTTCATGTGGGCTGTTTGTTTCCAATATATATTTTTCAGAAGTGTTACATCTTTGCTGTCAACTCCCAACTCATACAACATTTCGATAAGTCTCGTATGTTTGAATCTACGAAACGCAAATACATTGGTTTTTGTTGGTCTGTACACTTCTGCGCCATCAATTGTAAATAGAATAAGACCTCTCGTGTTCCCAATCCACTCTTAAACCCAAACTGTTCATAGCCGCTTTCTTGCTCACACTTCTTATAAATTCTGTTATGTATTATTTTAAGTAATACTTTCAGTGCGTGACTCATTAAACTAATAAGTCTGTAGTCACTGAGATGTCGAACTGATGGTTTTTTCGGGAGCGGTACAAAAGTTAATATTGATACACTCAATATAAATGTTGATGGGTAATTGATAAGATAACAACAATTCATAACAAAGTCAAAGAAAGTTGTTGAATAGTTGCTCCAATAAAACAAAAGTGCTATACAACTAAAACTTTACATTATTGTTCATTCAATAACTATTGCTTTATATCTCTTCGAAAGACTGTTAGTGATTTAATTGTAAACAAGTTTGTTGTTTATTTGTTACAAAGTTATTAATTGTTATAAAGTGTGAAGCAAAAAAGGTATGAAGTATTACAGGGGTGGATACATGAATTTATCTTAAGGGGAGCCCGGAATACATTTCAGGGGGGGCAAATAAAAGGTAATGTAGAATATGCTTTTTAGAGCGCCATTTTAACCCAGAAGCCTAGTATTCAACCCAATTTATAGATTTTAGTATATATATATATATATATATATATATATATATATATATATATATATATATATATATATATATATATATATATATATATATATATATATATATATATATATATATATATATATATATATATATATATATATATATATATATATATATATATATATATATATATATATATATATATATATATATATATATATATATATATATATATATATATATATATATATATATATATATATATATTATAGACTGTATCCGCCACTGTGAAGTAAGGTTGGAAAGTCGTTAAGCTATGCTTTGACATGGTTGTAGTATTGGATTTTACAGAAAAATTATAAAGGGGCTATTGAGGTAAAATTAATTTTTATTTTATAAAAATTAATAGGTAAAAATTAATGTTTACCTATTTTAAGTTGTTTATTTATTATATTATTATGTTTATTAAAATCAAAGAAAAAATAGCCGATATATTACTAACCTTTACTAATTATTAACACTACTGTCTTCTCCAGTATTAATACCGTATAATTGAAAAAAAGACGTTTAGTTGGCTTGGAAATGACAATCTCCCTATAATTGTACATATTATAAATTGATAGCGATCTTCATTTCATAGCCATGGCTGACGGTTTTTTTATGGTATTTTACCAAGAAAATTCTTCTTTTAAAGATAATGGTCAATAATAAAAGGTAAAAAGGCCAATGTAGTATATGTATGTGCACCTTAATTTTGGGGATCTAAGAACTCCATCAAACATACCCTTTTTTCCTATTTTCATCTCTTGTAATTCTGTGGTCTGGGTTAACGCCCATGTTTACGAGACATATTTGTTTTCTAAAAAACATCCTGTTACTGACATTAGGTCTATCTTTGCTTAGCGCCCTAGCCTTAATAATTAAAATTCATACATACAGTAGACTAAATAACTGCTTTAAAAAGAACACTGCAATTACCATGACCAACTTTAGTACAAAATGATATTAATCAGGCTAAGATACATACTAAATAATTCCTAGGGCAACTTTGAGATAGTGCCAAAATTGTTCCGGAAAGATAATTTTTTAGAAGCAAATATATTTTTCTCCCAGTGACAATAAAAAAACGTTTTTCTAGGTAAAATATGATAAAAGTGTTAGATATACTAACTAGTTTTTCACAGAACTTCACAGTTTTGTTTGTAGCGTAAAAAGTATACATAATTCGTAAAATATACGCCTATTTGTAGTTGACTTTTTGAAATGTTAATAAACATGCAGTGTTCAATGCATTATGTGTTTAATAACCCTTTAATAGTAGTAAAGATAACTTTATTTTTGAAAATGACAGATCATACATTTACACAATCTGAAAATGTGAGGAATGTACCAATACAGATCGGGAAGGATTAGCAACTCATTGAAACTGAAATTATATAAAAATACGATCCTGCTTGGGCTGCTACAATCCTGCTTTATCTTGCTTCAAATCCCAACCCAGCCACACCTACCAATTTTGAGCTATAGTTACTTTTATTTTGGTTGCTGACTACCCAGTTGGCAACACATGAGAAGAAGGATCGCTTTGAAATGGTTCAAAATATGGATGGGCTTGTCGCATCGTCTAGCGCCTCCGCGTGAGTGAGTCCAATGAGGGAAAAATCTCCGGAGAGAGTGTCCTGGTGCGATTAGATGCCACGTTCGACCGCGACTGTGGCGGATTCGCTCCGATATGCGACACATTCCGAAATCCGAAGGAATAAGATGCCCGGAAGAAAATGCAGTTCGATCCGGAAGTTCGGGGTATTGTGGTGTGTACTAGTTCAGCTTTGTAAAAACTCTTCAAAATTTCTTCGAATACTATGCGCGATTTTCGTAAAAATCTTTTTAATTAAGTAAATTTTGTTAAATTAGTTTAGTGAAATTCTAATTTGGTATGAAAGTTTTGGGGTTGTTTCAATACCTATCATTCTTTATGTTTCTTTTGTGACACTGAATCCGAATAATAAGAAGTTTTGGGGTATTATATCTCTATACAATGAAAAATAACACAAAAAATGTTCTACAAATTCAATTTTAACATATTTTTAAATTCCTTGCTTTGTTAAAATATTCCACAGGGTGTTTCAAACTTTCACCAAAATATCAACATGTCGTTTTCCCTCGTATAACTGACATAGGAAACTTTCATTTTTAATTTAGGAAAAGATAATAAAAAGTCAAATAATGTAGCTACAAATTACTTAAAGAATCATCAAAATCGGCCCATTAGAACAAAATATATTAAACATTAAAAAACATCAGAGTTTTAAAGTGCCCGTTTTTCATGCCGGTGAGTGTATTATTCTCGTTCAATACCTTTGCTAAATTTGTTTTCTTTGATTTTTAACTCAATGGCCATAATAAAAAAGTATATATTTTGTTTTTTTTAGTGTAGAGTTTAACGTAAGTATTTTAAAGGTCATACTGTCATATTCTTGAAAAAAAACTACAGCGAACTAATTACAATGATAGACAAATATAATGTAGGTATATAATTTGGTATGAAAGTTTTGGGGTTGTTTCAATGCCTATCATTCTTAATGTTTTTTTTGTGACACTGAATCCGAATCTGAAGTGTTCTAGCAAAATTTTGTGACGGAACATTAAAAAAAGTTTAAGAAGTTTTGAGGTATTATATACTCTGTTTTTTTTTCTCAGGTAAGATTTCGACAGACGATGACAGAAGAAAAGCAGATGACGTCCCAAACCAATCTATTTATTTTACTAAAAAAAGTTTCTAATAATTTTTAAGTTAACTACGGATGGGTTTAAATATAAATCCGTCATGCGTCGTCTCTTGTTGTTTTTAACCAGTTTTATTGGTTTATTTAAAAAATGACAGACGTATTTCAATTTTATTGGTTTGACGGAACGATGAACGACAAACGGACGCCGCACAATGGATCGAAGCATAAGAAGATAGGGACATTGGCTGTTTTTGAAGAGTTCCAAATTTAAATATTTTTTTACATATTTGTGTTAAAGAGATATTCTAGTCTTGTAAAACATATACAGTATGTCTG